ATAATATATGTAACTAACATGATGCTCCAACAAAAACCGCAGATCAAGACAACATGAAGAGCCAGATGATAGCCAACAAAAGCGGAGACTGGTCCGGGTTAATCCAAGAAACTTGAAGTGGGCATTCTAACTTGTTGCAGATCTGTGAATACGAGAAAAGCGTTTTGAGATATCTTACCGCAACCATGTATTAGACATGAACAACTAGGCATGGGCTATAACGTAAAACTACCAAAATGTAGCACAGGTATTATGCATGAACCCTTCCAAAATCCATTTTACTGCACAGACAATCTCGGGATCCGACACGAGGAACGAAGAATAAAAACGTCCTGACCAAAAAAAGACGAGGCAAGTAAGGCCGATTTCCCCACACTACCGTGATTCCAACCCAAGAGTTCCACCCCGTATCGCGTGATCACCTGCATAATTTTGGCGTCCGTGTATAATAGAGATGTGTGTCAAAGTTTAGAAAGTCGATCTTATCAACGATCAGTGCCGTAGCCTTTTTCCGGACCGTAGAAAATAAAAAAGAACCAAAAAAAGAAAACTTGGATGCATAGACAAAGCCGACTGCCGAAACCTGCAATCTAGTAACAGCATAACATAGCTCAACGCAAAGAAAAAAAAAGAGGCTGGATGGATTCGGGTGCGGGGTACTTGTTACCTAGACGGAAAAGGGAATAGAATGAAGGGAATTAAGGCGGCCTACTATGCAAGTTCGGTACTTTGTTTGATAGTAACAAACTTGAAATTTGCTCGGCGTAAGCCCAGAAAGTTTGACCATCAAATTCCGTTTTTCGTCGGGGTGTCACCACTGTTCCGTAAAATGCCGGATACTCACATTGGACCAGGAAAGCCCGTACATACATCACGCGGTGTTGAGTATTGCCTCACTGCTATACCGGGTGGACCCGAGACTAAACATCGGTGAGGCGACTTAGGTCGAGCTGATGAGCTCCTGTTGTGCGTGTTGGGACACCCAAACGTAATCAATGACTGCTTTTAGTGGCAGCCAAGCTTCATATCATAGTTGTTGCTTGACACGTGCCGCCAACTCCATTTACACCATACAGTCTTGCGGTAAACATATGTAGTCGGCCGTTGCATTTTGACTTTTTCAGCTTGTCGCCATCCCCACAAGTCATATTGCTATTGGTGGCCGGATGTTGGGAGACGCTCCCGGCAGCAAGTATAATCGGGCATCGTGAAGCACGGTCGCTTTCGTGCCGCTCAATTCCCACAAAAGGGAGAAAGACCGTTGTGCGCATCTCTGCGGGTAGCATGTCGATGCGGGCCATGGAGATCTCTGTCGCTTCATTCAAGTTTGCTGAACTATTGGAAGATATAAGTGGGAATTCTTGCAAAGAAAGGCATGATTGACTGGCGTGAAAGCAGGTACAGGGAATGGGAGCCGCCGCCTCGGATAGTAGCGAACGACATGCAGAGGACCTTGACTTTGCTCACCGTCTTTCAGAGAATCAACATTTGAGCGCGGCAACCGAGGGTCCTCCCGTTGCCGGAACAACATGTTCAGCGAATGGATGGTGTTGATCTTGTACTGGTGGCTTGCAGAACCTCGAACAACATGCATGCTTCAACCTTGCACCTTGGTAATATAGCGGTGGACAAGAAAAGCTATGACGCGGATACAGGTCCCAACTGTCAAAATGTAAAACTGCTTGTCAATGCGTAATGCTGGCGGGTGAGGCCCTGTTGCTCGTGTGCTCGCTAAATGAACAAGCTTGTTCCCTTTAGCATGACTCACCGCTCAAAAGGTGATTTTTTCTGACCAACCGGCGGCTATCGACTCGTGAGCGGGCGCATTTACAGAAAAAGCTCTAGTGGTTAGAGGCAACATCCACAGACTCAACAAAGCAGCTGATTCTGCCTCGTGATTGACTGTGGGTTTTTGTGTTGTTTGAGTCGTTGTTCAAGTTGTAGGCGTTTCAACTACACAGTCCAAGCGGTCAAATCGGGTGTCAATAAATCGCCGGCGGTAACAAGGCCGATCGATAGAGGCGACGCGCGGGGCGAAGCGGATCCAGGATCACCGTGAAGGCAGCCATCGGACGTCAGCCCAAGACTGCCATGGGTCGTCGGCGAGAAAAGAGTACGTACGTATTGCGCGTTACATGGATCAATTCGTCCGTGATGTTGAGACAAAGCTTCGCCACAGGGGAAGAAGGTATTCAAGTCTCGCTTGTGGCGGCATCCCTGCAAGGTAGATCATATCATAGCTGGTGAGAGAGCATGTGACTCGGAGCGCCCATGCCAAGCATTTGCACCGCCACGCCGCCACACGACCAAAAAACCCAGCTGCGCAAGCAGTGTATTGCGTTCGGAACGGGCGAGCAATTCGTTGGGCCGTACGCGATATTTTGGGTGGCGCGTTATGCAGCTAGACAGCTCGCAGGTAGGCGGCAGCTGCACTCAGCCTGCAGTGTCGTGGCAGACTAACGTCGGCGTCCAACGAATGTGCGACGTTGCTGTGTGATGTCTGCAGACGATAGGGCTGCGCAAACCTGAGCGATGCGTCATAGCGCTTATGGTTAGTATGGATGGGTGTCGCAGCTGCTTCTAGCCCACCCGGTATCTGGGAGGTGCTAAAGAGATGGGTCTTTACAACGACGAGTGTAGGGATTTATTCACGCGCTGCGCTGCATACAGCAGGCAGCTCCACTTGGAGGGGCAGCTTCACTTGGAGACGAGTCCATGACGATGGCGACATGCGAGAGCGGAGTAAAACAGTTCCTGCAGGTCAGGAGGAGTCATAGCAACGCATGATGCTGATGGATGCGAAGGAATACGCACGGTGAGTTGTCTGATAGCAAAGTGGGACCAGTGAATTTTGAACATGCAAAAATGCTGTGTGTGCGGACTCGGTAGGGAGGCAACCCGATGAGCCACCAGGATAAGGGCCGATGCGGTCCAATGGGGACGTACAATTCAGGCAAAAATGCCAGTGAGAACTGTGTGCCGAGAAATTGCAAGGAGCATGTTGACGGGAGAAACGAGGCATTGTGCGACCCGGGCGTTGGCTTCATGCGCCCCACGGATATAGGCGTTCCGCAACAGCCAGTCACAGGCAAGCAGAGAGGTACTTGCGCTGCGAACTTGCTTTATCAAGCCGTAGTGAGTGTGCGCGGGGAGATCAAACCATGCTGCCGCGAGTATTTGCTTTGCTGTTGACGAAATGCTATCGAATCATTGTGGCCCCGCTGGCGCGATATGCAGCCGTAGTGGGCCCACGGAATAGAGTAGGATATATGCCTTGGAAGAGAGTGCAGTAAGGTCGAAAGTAGCGGTAAACAACAACGCGCGCCACAAGCCAGCAACTTGGGGGGGGTGAGCAGTGAGACATTGGGAAAAAAATTTTCACGGGCGGGAAATTAGGCTTGGGAGAGTGTGTGCGAGGGAAGTTCGAGAAGGGATCCGAGCGAGCAGGACGAGTGCGGCTCTCAAGCGACGACAGGGCCTCCCTAGTCGGCGATAGCCTTTCCCCCAAGCGCCGCGGGACGACGTTGAATTGGTGGACCTTCGGTTGTTTCGGATGGATGGGCTGGAGAATGAGCAGGCGGGTGCGGCGACGAGGGGCACAGGATAGCGTTTGTGCTAGGCAAGAGATGGTGCACCAGAAGGTGGACAGTGAAAAGAATGGTTGACAGGCATCGAGTGGCGCAGAGGGAAACGGTGGATAGTAGATGATGGTGGTCGGGGAGGTGGTCGGTCAATGCGGAATTGGCTGCGTACGACAACCATGTGGGAGTACGGGCGCCGGTGCCAGGGCGCGGCCGGCCACCCAGCGGGTACAGGCAAAATGGGCCGTGCTATCACATCCCATCCGCACTGCAGCGAGCCCAACGCGGGCCTTTGCTGTTGCTGTAGTTGCGGGTTGTTGTTGCGATGGGGTGGGCATGGGCTTGGTGGAGCGAGCGAGCGAGTGCAAGGAGCGCGGGCGCAGGTCAGCTCATCAGCAAACAAGAACTGCTGCAGCCCATGGGCGGCTGAGTCGAGGGCGCTGGAAGCTGGAGGAGCTGCTGGCGCACGGCATGTGTCGTGGGCGGGCTTTGGCAGCGGCGGTCCAGGATTACGGATATATAGTAGTAGTGCGAGCAACGTAGTATGTTTCCAATATTACCCACCCCAAACAGAACAAATTCAAAACAGGCTGAGCGCAATGCCGCCCGCTCGCTCCGCCGCCACTCTGCCTGCTACCAAGGCCTCTGTGCACATCAGGCAGCAATGCAACGCCGCTGTCGCCGTGGCCGTCGTGGGCGGGTAGGCTGGCCGCCTGGCTGGTGTCTCGCACAGCCGTGCGTGGGTCGGCGCCGCGGCCATGGGCAGAGAGCAAAGCGGCCGTGAGACTGGGGAGAGGGCGAGGACGTGGAGGGTTCGGGGCTCGGTTTCCCAGAATACTAGACTGGCGGGCACTGCTAGGCCAAGTACGGCGGCGAGGCCTGCATGTCAATCTGACCCGGCGACGGGGGAAAGGCCAAAGCATGGGAGCCCTTGGCCTGCACTAGCTGGTGAACGGCGCGACAGGGGGGGTGCGTTAGGGTGCATGGGCGCCCGCTGAGGTCCGCGCGCCCAAGGAGCGAGTGACGGCTGTGGTTTGAAAAGCAGGCTGAGCCCGCCGCCGCTTCCTCTTGTGCCCGCCCGAACATTCACCACCCCATTACCAAGCACTCCAGACGCCCCCGTCTACACACGCCCGCACTTCAGGATCCTGCCCTCTGGATCCTTCTGGCAGACTCTAGCATCGCCTCCATTCCACACCCAATGTGCAGCACGCCGGCCCGGATATCCCCTCTCCTCCCCTCCGTCGCTGCACCCTCCTCCTCCGCCGCCCTCTACCACCGCGCGCGAAGAAGCTCGTTTGCCCTGCACATCCCCAGGTGAACCAGGCACCCGCCTGAGCCCTCGAACCCCCGTTCCCAGACCACCACCCCGCCTCGCAGTCACCACTCCGACGCCTTCACCACAACCCCCCCAGAAACATGTACGCACCACAGTATCCCACGCCTCCTCCGGGCTACATGCCCTACGACTACCACCGCACCACGCCGCCCATGTCGCCCGGCCCCGGCGCCAACTACTACTCTCCCCGCCACGCCCCCCAGATGGCCACACCACGAGCCAGTCCAAAGGTCTCTGGCCACTCGCGCCGGGCATCGCACGCCGTGCCATCGACACAGTACCAACAATACACGGCCTCGCCTCGAGGAGGAGCCGTGCCCCACTATGGCGCTGCCGAGTTTGCTGCCCCGCGCACCCACGCAACGCCGCGAGGCACCCCCGAATATGTAAGTTATTTCGGTTACACTCTTCCAAGTCGGCATCGCCGCGACTCAGACGTCCCGCCTCTCAAGCGCAGTCATCGCGAGAGGAAGCGTCGTCCGTCGCAGTCGGCACGTCAGGTCCACACCAGAGTTGTCTACGACGACCGAGGCTACGGCTACGAATGCGACTACGACGTCTACGATTACCCACCGCCGCCGTACGAACAGTACGCGCGCCACGACATGTACCGAGGGGATGCTGATCGCTATTACTATGATCAGGTCCCAATCTATGATCCAGAACCAAAGTCTAGCCGCCCCCGACGAGCCTCTGCATCGACACGACAGCCAGCCGCCTCGCCCAAGAAGCCAGCCCCAACAAAGACTAGCCCCAAGGCCACCGAAGAAGACGCGCGCCGCGCTGGCATTCCTGCCGGCTACTCGTACAAGAACTGGGACCCTACCGAAGAGCCCATTATGCTGCTAGGGTCCGTCTTCGACGCAAACTCGCTTGGCAAGTGGATCTACGACTGGACCGTCTTCCACTACGGTCCTGCCACGCCTCTCGCCGAGATGGCAGGTGAGCTGTGGCTCCTCCTCATCCAGCTCGCTGGCAAGGTCAAGAGAGCCGACGAGACGATGCCCAAGATCCGCAAGAAGGAGAACCACGAAATGGTCGAAGACTTCCTCGAGAGTGGGGAGCGCCTATGGGTCCGCTTCGCCAAGCTGCTCAAAGTATGCGAGGACTACATGTGGAAGGCGGCCAAGAAGGAGAGTGGCAAGGAAAAGCCCGTGTCCATGGGCAAGAACAGCGGCAAGGAGTTTGTCGAGTCCATCTTTGGGCGCGACCGAGAACTCGAGAAGACTGAGAAGCTCATGACTGGAATGCGTCTCTGGTCGATGCGCTTCGACGCCAACTGCGAAGACATCCTACGATATCCATCCGCCTAGGATCGAATACCTTTTGTTTTCTTTACTCTATACCTGGACGCTTTTGCGCTGGCGTTTTTCTGTCTGGGTATACCCCCTCCCCCCTTTGGATTACCGGCACTGCTTTGCGCGTCACTTTGACATTACTGCGAGATACCCTTTCTTGCTGTTACTAATTGTTAATCTCGCTGCACGTTTTTTATTGTTTCTTCGTTTGCTTCAGCATCTGTACAACACTACTGGGTCTTTTGCGCATTTGGGCGAATCACAGGAAAAAGTCTGCTTTGCACTATGATATCCCCCCTTCTCTTGTATCTTTTTTTTTTCTCTCTCTCTCTTCTCAGTTTTCAGCCGGGTATTGTCGTTTACTGTTTTTTTTTGGTTTTTATGTTCTGCAAGGTGTTCAGGTTGTGTTTGGTACTGGGTTACCACGTCTTGTCTTCTAGGTTGGACCATCTAGATTTGGGAGATTTCTTCTTCAGACAGTCTCTATTACGAGACTGGTGCCTCACGGTCAAAACTAGGATACCCGCCATACCACTCTATTGTTATGTAACAAATTTTATTTACTCTGGCCATTACCAAAGCAGTCTTTTGTGCATGTCGTATCCCCTTGGACAGGTGAATGTCTGTGAGTCATGGTGTGGCGAGGCAATCAAACTGAGCATGTCGCATTCCTCGCACGGGTTGCGATGGTTGTGAAGGGTGAATTTTGGGGTTGGGCAGCCCCTGCATGCAGCACAGCACGCACAGCAATGCGAGACAGCAGACAACCTATCGCACGCCCGAACGGTCGTCTGCCACGTGCTTTTTTCTTGGTCGCTGCGTGTCCAGCACAGCCGTGCGGTGGCACACACACTCAGACACGCGCACACAGACACACGTACCCTTACCCCTCCCTCTCTTGTTTTTGAAAAGTTGAAAGAAGGTTGGCTGGCGTAATAGGCTTGTCGCACCATGATGACTCGCACCCTCATCACACTCATACTCGAGCAGCCAAGATGAATCATCTGTAAGCACCATGATGCACGGCCAAAACCCAACCGTTGCGCCTTCACCCATAGCGATTGGCCATGCAGCCCCCGTCAGCGCATTCTCAGCCTCAAGGAAGCAAGCGGGCGTGCATGGAAAGGGCCTGCAAGCCGCGGCTGGGCCAAAGAAGCAACATACGACTGGACGGGTCTTGTTATTTGCTTTTTCATCTTTCCTTGCGTCCATCTCGTACCGCCCTGCCGCTCGTTTGCTGCCTTGTGGCGGGTTGGCGCAGGCGGCGGGAAGGAATGCACCAGAAAGGTCATGGGCTAATGCATAAACGGTGAGAAAGCAAAGGAACGCAGCAGCAGTTTGCTTTGCCTGTTGGTCCTTCGCTCCTCTGCTGCTGCCTTGTCTTTGCCCTCTTTTCCCGCGCCCGCCCGCCCGCCAGCCTATCGCAAACTAACAAACCCTTGCACTTCTCACCCACACACCCACACACCCTCGCAAAATCAACATGTCATCAACCAGAAGGAATACAAGATTGCGCATTTCCGTCTGAGGGAGATTGCCAATGTGATTAGTTGTATGCCGCGAGGGGCAAAAAAAGATTGATTGCTCTATTTGCGGGAGGAACAAAGCGGTTTGGGGGCGGGCTTTGTGTGTGTGTGTGTGTGTGTGTGTGTGTGTGTGTGTGTGTGTGTGTGTGAGGGTGTGGCGAGGCCCAAGGGTCCCCTTTGTGCATGTGTGTGCTTGCTTGTGTACACTGTGTCCTTGGGGCCCAATCCCACCCTCCCTCTTCGGTGTGCGATGCCAAAACGGCGCATACCTTACTCGCTCGCTCTCTACTACTTACTGCTACTCTGACTAGGATTCCATCAACGCCGACATGCGCGAACAAAGTTTGGTAGCCTCTTGCGACTGAAACCCACTTGGGCGGCGCCACAGGCCACCACGGTCCTGTCTGTCCTCTCTCTCTCTATACCTACCTCAAGCGGTCGTCGTTGGTCTTCCAGGGATCAAAGAAGGTTTACCGTGGTCGCGGCCGCATATGCGGCGCGTCCTTCCCTTGCGGTTATTCAGCCTCCTTGCCACCACCACCACTACCACCACCATCCTTCCAGCCCATCACCCTTGCCTTGCCAAGTGCAGGGATCGGGGATGCAGATTAACAGTGGTCCGACACGGGAACGCTCCGTATTGATAGCCAACTATTGCATTTACTGCTTTCCTTGGTTATATTTCCGCCCGCACCCCTTTTGTTCCTGGGACATCCTTACGTACCCCCCCAGGTGCTAGGCTGCAGCTTTGCGCAGTCGCTGCGTCACAACATGCGTTTGTTGTTTCGGAACTGACAGGAACAGCAGCAGAGGGAGAGGGGCTGGGGAAGGGCACATGGAGTCTTTGATTTTTTTCTCTTCTTTGTTGCTCCTCGCATGTCAAGACGGGAAACGGTACGAGATGCGTGTAAGATGGGACAAAGATGTCTTGCAAGGTTTCACGCAATCCGTCTACTGGAACACGCCGCGGCAGTGGCTCTGTTGCTCCGTTCCTGTCCGGATGAATGGCGCGTGTCACATGCCGATGGCCTTGGCCCGTTGGCCTTGCACGTGCTGGACACGGTTGTTCATTCATGCTCTTCTCTGCGGCTGAGGGTGATGCGGTGGCACCTTGAGTGTGATGATGGCATTGGCGTATGCCCAGGAACGCATCTCCATGCTCTTTCCCTGCTGCTGCCAACCCAAAGTAGCCGCCCGCCAATGTCTCTCTCACTCAGATGACTTGTGCAGCCTATGCACAGCTTCCTTGTCCATCCGAGCATGTCGCAGCGCCATCACCATGTCCCGGGCGGCTCGTCGTCTGGTGCCACCAACACGTCGCGGCCAATACGCGGCACGGTACATTGACATAGGGTAGGTAGTACGGGCGGCTAGGCGAGATAGCTGATGCCCTGGCTGCCTCACCAGATGCGAACGCATCTAGCGTACCGACCTAGACACATGTCAAAACTCTGGCCGGCTCCCAACGCTCAAGTCTACCAAGCCCAAGTCCAGCTCACTGGCAAGCCTAGACCATCCGGTGCACGGTGTGTTTCGAAACGCTTGGCCGGTGCTTTTCCTGTCGTGCATGAACCCCAACCCCGTCCGCGTCACTCTGCTGGACCCCTCTTCCTTAACCCATCACAGCAACCCAAGCGAAGCCGAACCTCCATCGCCGCCCGCCGCCCGCCGACCTCCCCGCGCCTGGCCAATGCTCGCGCCTCCTCTGCCTATGACGACCGAATGGCCCACCTCCGAACCCACTCTCGTCTCCTCCATTACCCCGCAGCCGCAGTCTACATCACCTAGTAGGTACCGTACTTGCCATACTGACCCGCTCCGCGTGAGCCGCCTGTGCCTATGCCCATGTCATGCTTCTTTCATGCTACCTGGTTTTGCGACCTGGCCCGGTCCTGGACTTGATGCCCTTTGCGCAGGGCGAGAGAGGGGTAACTTGTTGCAAGACGTCATGGGCCATGGCTTCGTTGCTCCAGCTCCCCCCACATCTTCGATGGACAACACCTGATCAATACTCTGCCAGCATCGAGATTGCGCGTTTTTGCTCTTTTGTTTCTTGCTTCCTCATGCGCCCCTCCCTCCCTGCTCGGGCGATTCCGATGCCACACTGTGTGATGAGAGGGGTGGTTGGATCGAATGGCGAGGGGCAAGTCCTTAGAAAGCGCGTAGTTGGTTGCGAAGGGTCAGCAGGACACGTCTTGTTTGCTGGAAGGGTGTGCTCGGGCTGCCAAACCCGAGCGTTACGCGCTGTATGCCATGTCTTTGATTCGTCTATTTTCTAGAAATCACATTTTTGTATGTGTAAAAGGCTCAACAGCCGTGAGAAAGCAAACCATCACTAAGTGGATATTGTTGAGGAAGAGGGGGTGATGGGAAAGACAACTTTCCACCTGAGATTTCCCTTTCGCAAGCGGCTAACCGTGCATTCCATTCGACAGACCTTCTCGCATCTCTATCCGCGATATCCTAGCAACTAGCATTTACCGCGCAAAAAAGAGACTTTCGGCATCTCCCGATAACGGGTCACGTTCAAAGTTCCAACAGGGAACAGCGATTGCAACATCTCCAAAGTCTAAATCCTCTACTACATACTATGAAATGGCGCGTTCCACCTTACCCTGTTTAACCCGAGTCCTTACTCAAAATTACTACGTCACCAGGTAACAATTTACAATAGTCTGGCCCGCTTAAACCCCCCCTAGTCCACTAAGCCGTCTACAAACACTAGGTGGGTGTACCGCAAACCACCCACCATCTTTGTTTTCCGAAGCCCGGCTCGCAGCGTAGCCAAGGGGGGGGGATCCCGCTTCCCTTTCCCTTCCTTCCCTCATCCACGTGCTGGGCTAGTTTTACTTAGTTAGCTTGGTTTATTTAGCCCCCGAGTCCAAGAAACTTTTCCCGCTTGTCCATCACTTTGCATAAGCGCCGAGCGAGAATCACGAACCCCCCTCCATCCCACCATGTACCCCTCCCCCCACCACTTTGATCATCGACTTTACCATGGTTCCTTGCCATTTGCACATCTACTTCCATGTAAGACGGAAATGCAAAATCAGCCCATGCACCACTTTCCAAAAGGAAAAAAAATAGTAATAATTTAGAAACAAAAATAAAACCGGCCCTGATGGCAGAAAATAGACTCTTTTTTTTCTCTCTTTCTCTCCTAAATCCTTTAAACACACCCCCCCTGTACATCCCTTACAAAAAAAAAAGTTCCAGTACCTGCAAGTTTACCCTAAAATTATCACCGCATAACCGTGTTTAAAAACCCAAACTTTCTATTTCTAGCATCCTGTCCTGTGGCCGGGGCTTACATACATGACCATGTCCACACACTTGATCATCTTTGCATGCCACCGCCGCAATGCGAACACCCTTCTAGCGCCTAACTCATCCCCTCCCCCCCCCCCCTCTCTCTCTCAGCTCTCAGCTCTCAGCTCTCAAAGATAGAGATGGAGAGATAAGGGTAAGGTGGGGTTATGAAAAAAGCGGGCTGGAGGGGCGGTGGTGGGGGCCAGCTTTCCGGTGTGCCATCATCATGCCTCCTTTTTGCGGTTTAACCTCTTTGTATTCCTACTAATTCCTTCGCGTCGGGCTTGGCGGCGGCGCCGCTGCGACTTGGGACGGGTCGGATTACGTGCGCATGCCACGTGAGGAGGGGAGGAAGGTGGGGACGAGGCTGATCTTGTGAGGGGGGGTTACTTTTTTACATGGAGGATGGGGGAGGGTGTGGGTGGGTGGGGTTCACTACTACTACTACTACTACTACTACTACTACTACTACTACTACTACGTGACTTCTTGTGGGTATGTAGGTTATGAACTAGGATTGGAGGCGTATTGAGAGTGTTTTTTTTAAAACCAGGAAGGGGAAGGAAGAGGAGTGTATGGAGTTAGGATGATACACACTTTAGCACGTGTTCGAGTGATTAGCATTTGCTTTTTTTTTCAGATAGCCTACTACGTACGAATTAGACTTTATCTGGACATGATTGTGTTGATAGCATTCAAACAACGATTCTTTACGTTTTTCCGTTGGGATACCATTTATCACGCCTGCAGTTGCTGTAACTGTACTACTGTGTCAATATCAAGTATACATTTCAAAAGAAAAATAATACACAAGATTCAAAGTCCTCTTCACAAGGTGCTCAAAACCAGAAAAGGACGATATGACATGTTTTGCACGTCTTTTTCATTATACCAGCAGAAAAATTGGGAAGATAAATCACACTCTACTCCAGGCTTATCTAAGAAGAGCAACCTCCTAACAACCTGATCACATATCCAGAACTTTATTATGCATCAATTCGTATCTTGAACCCTCAACAGCACAATGAAGACTAGTCATCGCTATGCACAACTAACTGTTCTTGTTGGTAGGTAAGTCATTTACGTAAATCACCACCAGTATGTATGTAAAACAACCCCGTGCGCATGTATACACAACAGACCCAGCGAAGATATTCCAGCGTAACACAATCACGACACCTCAAGCAAAAGCAGTCGTGACTGCAAAACCACTCGGTCATATGGATTTTGATTTCAAAGACACATAGCCGCCACAAGAACTCCCTCCTTTATAATCTTCATCAACACTATGCTAGTTCTTCAACGACTTATCCTACCTTTTTGTTTTCGTTGCTTCCTCCGTCCCATATCGTGGATTCGCCATCATTCACCCTTTCAACCATCTATGTACCTTGAACCCAGAAAGAAAAGGGGAGCCATACCTGTATGGGCGACACCACAGGTGCCCAAACTGGCGTATTAGTCTACATACGATATCCATGTTGAATGAGGAGTTCCTGCCCGGCAATCGCTTCAAGACACTTCCCATGCCTGATAGGAAGCTTTTAATCAAACCAGAGCTTAGGCAGCGCTTTCCCGCAATCGCTGTCGCTCGTCTTCGTTGAGCTGGTTGAATTCTTCAGCGAAACCCGGCGTGGTAGCAGCGCGCTTGAAGAATTCAACAAGGAAACTCTGTGTCTCGTCGTCGCGTTGACGACCGCTACCGCCAGGCTCCTCGGCAGCGAATGCCATGAGTTGCTCTTTGCTGAAGCCACTGCCAAGGTCGACAAATGGATTGGGCTCGTCTTCCCAGTCGCCATCGTCTGAGCCTTCCTCCGCAAGGTCGGCGGCTGCAGCTGCATCGAGATTTGCACCAGAGGCCGATTGGAGCTCTACTATGAGGACCTTAAGTATCTTGAGAGGCGCAGGTACTATTGTATACTTGTCAGGATCTGATTTCCTTGTCAGTGTGTGGACGGACCCGGAAGGGATATGCGGCACTGAATTCTGCAGTAGTGGCGCAACAGCCTACACACGCTCTCCACAACATGACAATGGCTAAGTGGCAAAGGCACAAGAGATACTTACTAGCTTTGGCGCGACTTCTAGTCATAATACGACCATCTGTGTTCGGGACCAAATCGCCCTGTACCTGGACCTGTGCAACCCGAGGATCCTTCAGATCATATAGTTTCGAGAGAGCAATAACACTAAAAGAACAAAATTAGTGGCTACCCATAAAGCTACTGGACATTGGATGATAAACTTGACATACTTTTGCCTAATCTCATCGTAGCCAGCAAAGTTGATCGAGTTCTCGAGCCACTTTGCAAGCACGACTTGTAGTCCATTCTCGCCGTCAATGTCTTGTCTAGCAAGGAAGTCCACTACCTCAGAGGCATGGTTCAAGCTCAAGCGTGCAAAGACAAGTGTCAGGCTCTGAATGAAATTCGCTTGGCTTGCTTGCGCTAGACGCACCGCGACACTCCGCAAGAGCTGTTCCAGGTAAGGGCCAAGCCGCTCATGACCAGCCTTTTCTACTACTTCAGCAGCAAGAGCACCGACCTCGCCGGCAGCATGGTCACTGCATGATGACAACAGGCGCGAGACGATGATAAGAGCCACCTCTAGACCGGCCTTGCCAGTGTCGTCTCGCCATTCAAAGAGTTGATGGTGATCGTGCGAGAGGATGTTCTTCACCGCAATCGTAGCAGACTTGAGTAGCTCCTCGTCAGTAGATCCAAGAAGAAGTCGTGTGAGTTTCGGCATGGTTGTAGCGACGAAACCAGCCGGGAGCGGCTCAGGTCCATGTTCAGCAAGCACAGCAAGAAGATCGGCAGCGAAGTTACATAGAGCATTCTCTTCCGTCAGGCTACCAACATCGAAAGCTCCTGTGAGCGACGGAAGAACCCTTGCACAAAGCTGAATGTACGCGTCGCCCCCCATGCGAGCAATGGTTTCTGTGACCTCTTCGAACGCTTCAACAACCAGCATGGTCAATTGGAAATTGGAGGCTTGGTGGCTGGCCACTCGGAAGAGCATATCAAGGCCGTTATCCGTGATACAGATCCGGGTGTCGATGAGAATAGCGTCTCTCAGGGTCTCAACCAAAGTGATCATGATGTCGTCGCCGTCGTTGAGTTCTGACATGTCCTGTGCGGCAAGGTAATTACTAATCGCTAATATGATCGGACTTTGTAGAGGCTGAGTAACCGAGTGTGGGAGTGCCTGGAGGTAGTGTTGTAGAGCTCGGATGCAAGAAACCTGGACAACGTCGGAGTCGTCATTTGGAATAGCTTGCAGATTTGCCTCGAGGAAAGATGTAGCTAGCTGTTGAAGAGCGTCTCCAGATGTTCTTGTCAAGCTTCCAGCGACCAGGTAGCCTCGTGCTCGAAGGAACGCGTCAGGCTGTTGCATGGCATAACGGATGAAATCTACGTAGCCAGTCGCAGCCTCGGGGCTGATTTGCTTGTCCACGTCCTGGAAGTCGCCCAGTAGTTGGTTGAGAACGTAAAGAGCGGCCTCTTCTGCTTTCCAGCCTTTTGACTCGGAGTAAAGTGCTCTGGTGTAGGTCAACAGGCCATTGACCGTCGGCTCTGTCAGCCATTCACCGAGCTTGATAACGAGATCTCCACAAGCCGTTCGAGGGGTGTAGTTTGCTGTGACACTGGTCTCCTCACTCAGAAAAATGTTGACATCAACATCCCATAGTCCCTCCTCCTCAGTAGTGATTTGTGCGTAGGCCACGGCCAGCTTCATGACTTGAGTAACCCAAGAATTCTCGGGTGCCTGGTTTTGAAGTTCCTGTTCGAGTTGACTGCGGACTGGCGGTGCGCGAAGGCATGCTTGCATAAAGTCTAGCTCTTCGAGGATGAGGAAATCCAGGGTGTATGGCAGTCCATCGGCGTCTTCCAGCCTACTTTGGCGGTCTTCTTGTATGTACATGAGAGAGTATGCGGGTTCGAGTAATGAAAGTTCCTGCCAGCATGCTTGGAAGAGAACAATACTTTGCGGCGAAAGAATGGCGGGGAAGATGGAGCGGATGCGCATGAGGACCTGTATAATATTTAGTATTGCGACAGGCGCTGATCTTCATTCTCCATGACTTACCTTGACCACTTGAAGCTTCAGAGCAATCTGACCCTTGTACAACATGGTATTGGGCGCATCCTGCTCTTCTTCCTCAATCGAAGGCGGACCTGGTAACCTCGTGTTCAAGACACTGATGAAGAAAGGCATCCAGTCCTTGAGCACCTCGTCGGCAAAATTCTTGACCATGGCCTTGTGATCATCCATGACCATCTCGAGTATGTCGAAGCAGCCGTGGAAGACCTTACATGCTAGCGCCCTCAATGTCGGCTTCCTCTGGTCGTTGGTAGCCACATCGTATAGAATCTTGATCATCTGCGGTGCCACGCTGAAAAATGTAGTCTCATTGAACGAGTCCTCAACCAGCTCGCCAAGCACCCTGAGTGCGCCATGTAGTTGGCCTTCGGTTGCATTGGGTATCAGGTTGAGCAGATTGTCGAGCAGGTCGGGCCATTCGATGGGGTAGTCGGCGGCTGCGATCTTGCTGACGACGAGGCCTGCGGCGGCCTTGAGCTTGCGGTCGATCTGGTCGGACGTGGCGAGCGTGAGAAGCTGCTGTCGTAATATAGCCTTGTTCTCGTCTGTTATCAGGACCTGTCCCTTCCAGCCCTCGAGGCTGTCACTCCATCCTGCCAGGACGAGGTTCTTGAGATACAACAGGGCAGCCTGGCGGATGTTGAGAGGCACGCTCTCATGGCAAGATATGCCAATCAGGCCCAGGGGGAGCTCCTGGTGGCCATAGAGCGAGAGCAGCTGCTGTTCAGCCTGTTTGCGCGTGTCCTCTTGGGCCGTCTGGGTTGCGGAAAGCAGCTGCACTAGTTGGTCCTCCATGGTCAAGGTCAACGTGGGGCATGCGCGTACAGAGCTAGTCAGCACGTCTAGCGTTGCCCGACTCGGTTGGCGAGAGGAACTGTTTGGCGGGTGACGCGTTTGTTGTTGGTGTTTGCTGGGCGACTGAACCGGAGGAAAAAGAACGCGCTCGGGGATGCGGGGCAGCTCCGTGAATCTGTGTGTAGCGGGGTGGCCAAGCGCCTGCTGTGGCGGGAGAGCAATGTTTTGACGCCTTCACCTCGAGAAAAAACTGGATGCAGCTGGACAGAAAAAAATAAAACAAAGGCTGAGCATATGGGTAAGGGTTGAACTGGGTGGTGGCGAGGTGGAAGACGACCAATGGCCTCACCTGCACCGGCTCACTGCGCAGAGGGTCCGTCACGACATCTCCGGGACGAGTAGAAACCAGGCACTTGACTTCTCCCTCACCTTCTCTCAATCACCCAAGGCCATGTATTGCCTGCCACGCTGTGATCCCCAACAGTGCCAGGCGCTCTCGACACAGCATTCACACGACAGTCGCCATACCGATCAGCCACTGCACTACCAGCCCTACCCACCTACGCACGCCTATCGATAGCCTAGCGGGCTAGACACGCGACGAGACGCGTCTGCGTCATGCCCTTTGTCCACGATCCCCCACTACAAGACATATGGGATGACAAGCCAGAACACCTGCTAGGTGCACAACGCCCTGTCGAGTAGTGGTTACACTGCCTGTCCTGTCGTACCCAAGCCCACCATGGCCCCAACCTACCTCGAGACCCTCAACCACTTCACCACCTTCCTCACAGCCTACACGCATACGCTTCTCTACCTACGCACCCTCTACCCGCGCGCCTCGTTTGTCCAATCACGATTCCACAACGCCTCCGTCTACCAGTCACGGCATCCGCTCGTCTGCGAATGGATAACCGACGCCATCGCCGCTGTGCGCGAGGAGCTCTTGAACGGCAGCGTCGCTAGAGTTGCTATCGTGGTTTTCAGCTATGAGGGAGACCAAGAAGGTGCGACGGGCAGTGCAAAGATAATGGAGCGATACATGTTTGATGTCAGTAGCTTCCCAGTCGTGGAAAAGGGAGATCGCAACATGGAAATTGAGTGGCAAGGAACAACGCCTGATGTGTCTGATAATGAAGACGAGAGTGGCATCTTGAAGCGAGGAAAGACAAAGGCATTGGATACGGATGTACATGTCAATCTCTCTGAGCAGTTTCGCGCCGCCTTGATTGCCCTCACCACACGCACATCCACGCTCGCCCCTCTACCGCCCAACTGTTCCTTCAACATTAGTATGGAGCTCAAAGATGAGGGCGATGTGGATCCGCCAATTGGACACCCACAGCCTTGGATCCCAGTCCAACCTAGCTTGCAGAAGACGGGCCGAACGGCAACCATCCGAGAAGAGTTGGAGGAAGAAGAGTTTGAGAGCGGCAGGCGGATAGAAAAGGAGGGACGGGATCTGGGCGGTGCAAAGGTAACGCCCATACGTAGTGTGCAATCTGGTGTTTTTAGATTCGAGACTTGGATAGAAGAGGCCAGGGCAAAGTTGCAGGCTGATAGCACAAAGACGAGCTTTGCAAGTTCCATGTAAATGGAACAATGGGAATTCTTTATTCAAGTAGTGTTTGGTTATGAAGTCTGTGAATCAAATCATTTATATGTGCTTCTATGCTATGTGACTAACCGATATAATTAGGAAATTCCCCTATTTTTGTTGCGTTATGACAGGTGCGCTGCCTCTTTATCCTACAAGCTCATTTTCCCGGCGAGAAGTTCAAAGTAGCCTTTGGCCCTTTCAGCATGACCGCAAGGCTCACCAGCGCTGCAATACTCAAACCCTTGAATACAAGGCCTCGGTAAGATATGGTGTCATTTCCATTTCTATCAAATGAGACAGACACAGGTGGAGCGAGAGTGCTAGCTTTCTTGAGTGTGTAAGGAGGGTAGCGGGCTCCCATGACCATTTCCATCCAGTCTGGCAAGGCATTTGTAGTCGTTCGCAGATGAGAAAAGGTCAACACGCCATAACGGCCATGATAGTATCCCAGACCAGAATGGCCAACGCCACCGAAAGGAGTATCATGTGTAGCGACATGTAATCCACAGTCGTTGAACGTAACGCCGCCTGACTGGGTCTCATTCAATAGCCGCGATTTTTCCTCCGCCTTGTTCGTGAAGGCGTACAAGACGAGTGGATGTTCATGGGCGCGAGTGTAGGCTATTGCGCTGTCCAAGTCGGCGTCAATGATAGGTAGCATAGGACCAAAGAGCTCTTCAGACAGCAAAGAGTCGCCTGGCTTTACCCCGGTCACAATTGTTGGGGCAAAGAATCTTGTCTTGCGGTCACGTTCGCCACCATAAATGATTTGGCCCGAAGTCTGCTGGAGGAGGTTGTCGAGTCGGTCGAAATTTCGTTCATTGATAATGTGTGTGTAGTACTCTGGTTGAGTTTTACCGTCCCGGAAAATGTCGAACCACTTCTTCAATTCCACAGTGAGAGCATCTCGCACACTTGGATCGACGAAAACATGGTTCACGTTTAGACAGATCTGAAGACGCACCATCTGTTAGCATGTATGAATAGGGATAAAAGCAAGGACGGCGGGATGAGATTGTTCTACCTGTCCGGAATTCATGAACTTAATAGCAGCAATACGCTTGGCGGCGAGGTTTATGTTGGCGGATCTGGTAACAATGGCTGGTCCCTGGCCGCCGAGCTCGAGTGTAACCGGTGTCAAGTTCTTGGCCGCAGCCTTATGGATAATCTTGGCGACATTTGCAGAGCCGGTATAGAATATGTGATCGAATCTGTGGTCCAGAATATAGGACATCTCTTGTGGACCTGCGCTGATTGCCCTGATCGCGTTTGTATCCAAGTACTGCGGAATAATCTCCATCAATAGTCTCTGAGACGCCGGCGCGTTATCAGAAGGCTTTAAAATCATGGCGCAACCAGCAGCTATAGCAGCGACCATGGGTTGTAGAAGTAGACAAAATGGGAAGTTCCAAGCTCCGATAATCAATGTTACGCCCAGTGGTTCTTTTCTGACAGTGGTATTCCCTAAGAAGTTGAGAAGGCTGGTCCTGCTTGGCTTTTCATCCGCAGTCCACCTGTCGAGGTTCTTGAGAGTATCGAGAATGTCAGATTGAACAGCGACACAATCCGCAAAGTAGCTTTCCTGGCGGTGCTTGTGGAGATCTTCGTGAAGGCACTGCACGATGCGATCCTTGTTATCCTCCATCATCCACCAGGCCCGTTTCAACTGGCGACGCCTCCATTCTTTGTTTTTAGTGAGGCCTGATGCAAATCCATCTTGCACAGCCTGATATGCCTGCAAGGTGTGAGCCAAACTGGAACTGCGGCGACAAAAACATGCGTTGGGGGTGTAACATACCTCATCAAACTCTTTCGACGTACTGTAAACCATCTTTCCAGTGAGTAAGGACAAGCTCGTTGCGAAAGAAACCACTTCTGGGATGAAGTTATCTGGAACGACGCGACGCTTCCGAGTAAGCCGGTTTAGTAGCTTTAGTCCGGAGTTGAGCCGTGTGGTGTCTGGACATGCGGAACAAGGGCAGGAGCGATTCAGCGGTGGGCCCTCGTAGATATCGTGACTGCCTATCCGTCCTACCCTAGTAATATTTATCACAGCCGCACAGCCGGCAATGAGTCAGCCCATGCTCGAAGCAATGCCAAGTTTATCCCTTGCAGGATTTACGAACGACCGGTGGTGCATGGATAGCCAGGATCACATGCAAACCAAAGACGCTACCTTGGCACAATTCACACACTTCTCTCATCTAAATAGTAGTACAACGGCTCTATGTAACTCCGCTACGTAACCAAGATCGCCTAGAACGTTTTCTTCAACAGCAGGTAACAACACAGGAACCCCCCCATCGCAACCAACGTTAGCCAGGTTTATTATTTGGATATCACCATCAAAAGGTCACTGAGTTTTGGATTTGACTCTAGCCGTACTAAATAACAATCATGCTGTAAATCATCTACATTATGCTGTCGCAGAAGTGCACAAAGGTTAGAATACCGGATCTGGAGTCCACTGTATAAGGTGTAGGCATTAAGATGGCATAGCTACACTACCCACGGACATGAGCACGCTTGCAGCCCATCTGGTGGAAGAGTTAAATCAAGTCTTCATTATCGGGCTTCGGGCATTCAACTTACGGCCTGAGATTGATATAAGCTGATATTGAGCTAGGCGCAACGGCAACAAGAAGGCCGGAAGCTAAGGGCAAGGTTAGGAGGTTATAGAGCAAAGACCAATTGAGCGTATGTCGGACTCGACGCGTCGTTTCATGAGTTAAAGCGATCAAATAGTCTAGTTGCTGGAGGTTGCTCCTATGAGGAGAGGAGGTGGAATGGGGAAGCTTATCGGCTTGGGACTTTCTCGAGTTGCCATTGGGAAGCAATAATGCATCTGCTTCTTCTTGTAAAGTTGCCACAAGATTTTGGCCGTGCTTGTCGTAGTTATTATTGAGCGTTGGACTATGCGATACGACGACTCCGAAAGCTGCTGTAGAAAGTGCAGGAGCATCGTTGATGTTATTGCCAACCATGATGACAGGGCCATGGCGCGCTTGAAGCCGGTTGATGAGCTTTACTTTGTCCGGAGGAGCCAGGTCGGCGTAGACTCGGGTAGGCGGAATGCCGACATGGTTAGCCACTGCAAGAGCAGCCGCCATTGTATCGCCTGTCATCATGAATACTTGAAAACCACGCCCATGTAGGGAATCCACGACTTGACTCGCATCAGGAATGGTGTCGCTTGCACATTTCATACAGCCTGCGAGACGGTGGTTGATGGAGATATACACCATGCTGTCAGATGTTGTAGTTGACAGTCCAAGACATGAATCGGGCTGTGCGTGCATGTGCCGAACATTGCCTATGGCCACTTCGAATTCTGACCCCTTGAATATGAACTTGCCTGTCAAACCGGACCCGGGGTTCTCTTCTTAGTGTTGTAGAACAAAACGACTGAGGCAGTTAGAGTTTTTAGCTGACTCAGATTGCTCTTCGGCTTTTTTCGACAACAAGACGGAGACAGGGTGTGATGAACACTGCGAGAGTTGACCAATCATTCGCTAGACCAAAGCCTCTTGTTCTGCCGACGTACTCCATTCCACAGCTGTGTCAATCGCTTTTGCGTGCAAAGTGCTTGAGGTCAAAGTACCCGTCTTGTCAAACACAATCACCTTGGCGTCGGCTGCTCGCTCTACCTGTGGACTTGTTCTTAAGAAAATACCGGCAGCATGGGCGTTTGCTTAGGAATGTTAGTAACAAGCAAAAAGTCAAACATTCCATACAGAATCTTCGGAACACTTACCGTTGGCGGACATGAGGCACGTTGGGATGCCTAGCCCCAATGTATAAGGGTATGCGCAGAGTAGTACGGAGACGACTTTGTTCAGGACGAGAATGGCGGATGCACCAGTGAAGTAGTGAGAGAGTCCGGTCGCAGCAGAACAGCATAAGACAGCGGCACTGAACCACCTGAGAATTCGATTGGAGAACATCTCAGGATCGGATTTGGCTTCATTTCCCTGGGCGATAGCTTGCAGTGTTCGAGCTAACCAAATCTCTTTACCTGCTTTGCAAACTTTGACTATCATTTTTCCTGGCCCATTCGAGCACCCAGCATAAACCTCGTCGCCAGGGAAGACGGGTCTTGGTTCAGGCTCTCCCTTGATGATTGTCTCGTGGACTGTTGAATGGCCGTCTACTATTCTACAATCGGCCGGGATAGAGTCGCCCGGGACTAGTAAAAGTAGATGTCCAGGCTAAAGCAGGTCTGCAGGGACCTGGGCAGAATTGGAGCCATTGGTATCTTCAGGTGCGATGACAGCGGCTGTCGAAGGTATCGCGTTTGCCAATAAGGCGGGTAGTTGGGTATTCCGAGTTGTTACTAGACATCTCATCAGACGGCCTCCAAGGATAGTGGCGACGAGCAGGCATACACCAGTTTGATTGAAAGAAGCAGCGTCACGTGGTGCCTCCCAAACATGATTTGAGAGGGTGGCCGCGAGGGCGAATACCATGCCGCAGGAAGCCGTTAAGGAGGCATTGGGTCTACATCGAACGAGCGCCCTTGCAGCTTCAACGTGAATCGTGTAACCAAGCGCAGTCACGGCCACAATGGCCATGATAATGCTGAGTGCAAGCAAGAGGGGTGAAGCACGGAAGTGATTACCAATGTAGTATCGTGCATATTCCATGATGAAGGACAAAGCCGCTATTTGCATGGAAATTGTGAACCGATGCGGCCACTGTGCAGTGACCGGTCGTTGGACTCGGCCGCAGTGAGCCATTGGGTAGTCCAGGAGTCTGACTCGGTAAGGACGAGTGCTTCGTATCCAGCATCTTGGATTTGTTGCACCAGCAATGCAGGCATAGATTGGTGAGGGTCATGACCGTATTCAAACGCATGCTGTTTGCGTTTGAAGTGAGATGGACGCAGTTTTGACTCCCGGAACGGCAAGACAAGCGTCCTTGACGGCGTTGACGCACGTGATGCAAGTAAGGCCTTGGAAGAAGCTATCCAAGACAAGGCCTCACATATCAGACATTGTCGTATTGCTCTCCAAGGAGAGTGCTTGGGCTGACGAGGTTGATGTTGGTGTGTGGCTGGTCAAACGGGGAAGACGGCTGTGGAGGTACATGAGCTGACAAAGGACAAGGGCACCCTATGCGCAGCACGTCGCCATGGTTTGCTGCTGCTGCTGCAAGTGATGCTGTGACTTGTACTAGAAACAATGCCTTGAATAGTGCTGAAATGAATGCTAGAATTAGTTGTCATGGTCGAGCACTGACAAAGCGATAGTAAGTAAGTAACGACCGCGTCGCCACCCGAAGCAGACCAAAGATAGTGGGTACGTACTAGAGTTAAGCGGAAGCGGCGGCTCCGTCGGTGAACCAGAGAGTCAGACTCCTTGCCCGTAGTAGGCAATTAACGCCCAACGCCGGCCAGAACAAGGATCCTCATAACATACGATATACTTATGGCGTCGTGGGCCCAGGGTGTCATTGACTTGGGCATACCCTCAACTACGTAGTGACTCGGCTCTTTCAACTAGTGACTCGGCTACACTCCGCACAACCTCAGCATGCACCTGTCCCCCGACCCCCAGAGTCTCGTCTCGTCTCCGCCGGCACCGTCCTCAGATGCGTGCGCCAATCCGTTGGCAGCTGACCCGCTGACGCGCAAGCGTGAGCGAGACAGGCAGAGCCAGCGTCGGAAGCGCGAGCGCGAACGCGAGTACCGTGTCCAACTCGAGGCCAAGGTCCTCATGCTGGAGCAGCGACTTCAGGGCATGCAGCACTTGGATGCCTCACCCAGCCAGATCCGGGAGCATGAGAGCCAATCGCGGGAGCTTCACGGCCACCCACACAATGCTGGCAGCGTCATCCCCAACCATAAAAACAGCGACCATCAAGAGCTCGATGAAGAAGATGGCCAAGAAGACCACGACAAGGATCGTGCACAAGATGACGGAATCAGCAATGATGCACATGGCCTCAACAAACCCAACCGTATCAGGGACACCGATGCTCACAGCACAGCCTGCACTATCAACTGCACACACATGAACAACGATGAGGTATTGCAATCCCCAGAGGAACAACTATTGGTCGTTTCTGCCCCAGTCCTGGCTCGGTTGCTCGCAGACCCGGAATGGCTGCGTACCCCTCTGAATAACATCTCCTGTCAGGCTGCCATACAGACCTCCGTCGGTTTGCACCCCGGCAACAACCTGGCGCGCCTCCTCGCCAACCTTCGCGCCTATCCTGAGCTTGAAGCTGCATGCTCGCCGAACCCTAAACCCATAGATCTTCTCTTTGGTGGTTCAAATAATATTCTGGCCAATGTCGTCGTCTCAGAGCAGACAGGAGCCCATTGCCTACCCCCAGAGCAGTTTGCCACTACTTGGCTCATATATCTATACTGTCGTGTACGCTTACCCTGCTTCATTGTTTTTCCACACGCAATACTGAATCTTCTCAGTGGTTAGTTTGGCCTTCTAAAGCTAATTATCTATGCATTCCTGAATACTTCCGCCCATCCACTTTGCAGCTTACCCGTCACCACGATCTCCTGTATGATCTCATCTTATGGCCTCAGATGCGTGACAACCTGATTCGGTACGGACCCAAACATGACCATGATGCTGTTTTTGGGCTATTATCTTGTACGCTTCGCATTAGAGGAAGCTTCAGGAAAGAGTTCATCATCCGTGAAAACGATGGCGACCTCCAACTTGACCCGAGCTTCTATCAAAAATTCATGGATATTTCCAATTGGGGCATCTTGGAAAGGTTCTGGTTAGAGTACCCAGATCTAGTCAGAGGATTTGATCCCTCAATTATGTTACGAGAGCAACACTTACTATAATAATATTATTTGCACACCCACAGGCCATCCTTGATGTGAATAATGCGTGCTCTTTTCATCAACTTATGATAAAAGTAGTTGTAGACCCTACAGTATCACAAAAACACCATTGACTGAATTAACACGGTATCCGTCGCTGACTAAGCCATGGTATTATGATTATACTACTGATAGTAACGCCTGTTGCCCATGCTAGATACGCTAATTTATTACTTTATGTCCATCGAACGAATGCATGCTGTCTCCTGCGCCGTCCTGCATAAGCATTCTCAAAAATACTGGGGCTCCCTTCAAGGGTGTCATGAAAACCTTGCTCAGCCAAGGGAGATCAATATGTCTAGCCTCTCCAGACCACAATGCTGAGGAAATGACACCGGCGACCTCCTGAGGAGTCAGAACTGGCATCAAAAAGTTCGAGGGCGAGCTCAAGCCCGTGAACATCTTGGTACCAACCAGTGATGGACACACTACCGTACACCGTACTTTAGGGGCCTTGTATATATGTTTCAGCTCGGTTTGAAGGCCTTCGTGAAGCGCTAGCGCAGCCGATTTAGAGGCAGCATAGTCAGCCATGCAGCTGACAGTCGAGTATGCAGCTATTGGTGTCAACTAAACCAAGCCACGCCGTTTCACTGCAGGATACATACTTGCGGAAGACATAGTCACCACATGTCCGTGGTTTGCCTTAACCATTGCAGGCACGAATTCTTTGTAGCACAGAGCCAAGCCAATGGCGTTGACTCCGAATGTCCTGAAGTTGTATCAGCCACAACATGTTGGTAAGTTAGAGCCACAGGAAACACACAATTGTATATCTCTCGTGCTCGCCTCTACGAGTGCCGCTGGTTAGCCTATTCGGAATGCATGAACTCTGCTTCAGGAGGTAAAACACCAACTAGTGCCTTTCCACGCAAAATACCAGCGATACAGCAAAGCACTGTAGGATGTCCCCATTTTGCCCGTATCCGATCGGCAGCCGCGGTCAGGCTGTCAGAGTCCGTCAGGTAGCATTTGAAATATTCAACATTCGACGCTGCGTCTGGTGATTAGCACAAGACGAACTCGGCCAAGAATTCAAGATTCTGTTGAAGCATGGGTACAGATCTTACGCTTCGAATACGACAAAGGCAACACGTCCAGGACTGCGATCCTGGTCCCTTTGGCAGCCAATTGCTTGACAAGCTCGCCCCCAATGCCACCCGCACCACCCGTTACGACGACGATTTCCTTTTCCCAACTATATGTGTCTGATACACCATTGTTCATTGCGCGTCGGGACAAATACTTCTCGAAGCGGAGTACAAGACTTGCAAGGATCAAGTAGCCTGCTTTTCGAACTGATGGACTCGCCACAATCAGTTGATTTTCCGCTCCCCGCAACGTCACGGAGAGTTTGTCCGGATGAAGGTAAGCATATCCGCACTGCCTTGACGTGATCAGTGATAACGCCCTTGCGCGGCACAATCAAGAAAAAAAAGTAGAACTGACAAGTATCGGGATTGTGAGTTTCGGGTTCAACAAAGTGTTGTAAACTGTCGACACAATCACGTCCAATGTAAGCATCTTCGATAGCAGATTCGACGGATAGTATAGACTAAGAGAACATAAGAAGCAAGATAGGCGATCATGTACTGTACTACGGCATCTTATCAAAAAAACTTTAAGCTATATATTCATTTGCCTCTGTTTTCTGGGAACTAGATAATGCGGCTTAGTACCATGATTCAGCGCTAGGCTAAGGACTCATAAAAGTGAAGGGGGCGCGCCATAGCAAGTTGGAGACCCAACTAGACCGGGCTTGGCTAGTTTTGGAGTGGATATATCAGTTCAAAGTCCCAATTGGCCAAAGGATGTTGAGCCGAATCTTCCGGCAAGATACGGTATTCGCTTTCACGGAATTTGCATGGAAGCACTCGACCCTGCATCGAGTCTACGTAAGCGCCATGACTGAACAAGGATTAATACACTGGAAAATCCATCCCCAATGACCCCCGCACATGTGGCGTGTGTACTGTCTCCCGCATCTCCACTTTCGGCACCATCGCTGCCTCGGTAGTGAATTTGTCTTGGCTGTTCCGCAAGCGCCGGCAGGGTGGGGGCGAGTCAAGCATACTAGAGCATGATGCGTTGTGGTGACTCGCCTTCTCCACAGAATATCTTCCCCACAGCCATGCAGAAGGTGGCGCCGCTTGACCAATCCTGTTGTTAGATGCTGTTGCGTCTGACACGCTCCTCATTCCTTCTTGTGCCGGTGCGCAGAAAGTCACGACTAGGTACCAGCGAAGGACACAAGCACAATATCTACTGTTGTTTGTCGCCGGCCTACTCGGCTTTTACAAGTCCCAAAGCAACTTCATTCGTGTTCTCAGTCTCTCTTGCATTTTTCCTGGTACCGGGTTCCTAGCCGTAGGCGGTATTATCGGTGCGACTGGATTTGTTCTTACTCTACTTGTCCTGCCTCTCAGCCTCTTCGCATGGTTCGGAGCTGGAGGTCTTGTCTTTGTCCTGGCGAATTGGATTGTTCCCGGCATCGCTGCTGCAGCAGTTGTTGGTGACTCGGTTTGAACGCCCGCCGCACCTATTGTCGCATCCGTCAGTTTTGGCCTACTGGTATATGGCCTTGTAAGTGGCGCCAGACGACGGAAAAGCGCACTGAAGCTACGCGACGAACGAAATGCCACCCTTGAAAAGGAAGACGCTGAATGGGAAGCTCGGGTTTTCTAGAACAAGGTTCCGAGAGAGGACGAGTTGTCAGTAGACGAACTGCGACTTTTGCAACATTTCATCCAGGTTGCCAACCAACCTATGGATGATTGGGCCAACTTTACCCGCATCGACCAGTTCCAAACATCGGCTCTGCGATATCAGCTTTATGATGTACAGTATACTCTTGCCGCTGTCCAGAAGTTCTATATGCCTAATTTCCACGGATACATCAAAGCAGCACAAGAAAACGTCATTGAAAAAAGCACTACCAAGGATGTCATGAATTATTGGAAATGGGAGTCTCTGTGGGGTAAATTCACCTTGGTAGGTGTTCCCATGCTCTTGCACATCTTCTTTCATTCCCACTAAGCGCTACCAGAATTGGGACCCGGTTATGCGAGACAACATCATGGTAACGGGGTTGGCCACATATGAGAAGCTCAACGGCGACGACCGATATCAAAAGAAGAATTGTCTCAACTTGCGCATCACAGATCGAGCACAATACACCCATGATACTAACAGTATCTTTGAGGCTCTGATGCAGAATTGGGGCAGCTGTTGATGCTGCTTGTTTCCATGTGAGGTAAGTAACAAGCTTTGTCCAATACTACCCATGTAGATACTAACGCATGATTCAAGCCTAATTGGATCTACTCCGCGTGTAACCTCATTGGCATGGAAGGTGCTATAGCATATGATTCGTATCAAAAGACTGGTCGAGTCGCTACTTTACTTGATGGCGACTATCAGCGAGGCTTTGAGGAGGATTTCACCGACCCAGACGGAAGTATTGTTCCCCTCCGTTCGGCCATAAGTAAGTCTCTTGTTTCGCCTCTTGCTCTTGCAATTTGCTCTGCCTCCACGCATCTTGTTCTCCAGTAACCATGGAGCAATTGGCAAACTCGGTTTCTAAACGATTGCACAAACTACCGAACTTCCTAGCCGGCTTCTCTATTCCTGGCCTCGCAGGTGTACTGGGAGATGCTGGGAGCGCACTCCATTGCTCCGCAGGAATGCCACACATTGCTCGCCGCTTGTGGCACCTTTCCCGTGCAAGTGTCGTGCGCAAGGACGAAAAAGGAAGGTTTATGCTCGAAAACTTAGGTATGCTTAACATCACAGCTTCATGAAGGGTCGCCTGCCTCTAGGGGCTAAAGGTCTCTTGTGATACAGTATTCTGAGACGCTGCCTACCCCTAGGGGCAATGGTTTCTGATAATATGATGATATGGTTGTTTTGATTTCGTCGTCGTTCAAGACGGAGTACCGCGGGTATTGAGCAGTGGGGAAAGAGGTTGAACGTGGAGGCTGACTGAATGGGTGCAAGCCCCTACAAGCACTGAGTCAGTGCTTGCCCACTTGGGCCATCCCCGTGTGCTTCGGCTGGACCTTCTTTTTATCTCCCCGGCGGGTGATTATCCTACTCAGAGTGGATACGGTGCAGAGGTGCAGCCACGCTAGCTTTGTTGGTCATTACCCGGACCCTGAACCATACCTCCTGACTGCATCACAGTCACGCGCTTGAGGAAGCTTGGTAAGGGCTATCTTCCAATCAGTCTTATCTTTGGTGGACGTCAAACTATCCCACAGTGCAACCAATGGTGAAACGAATTCATCTATGTTTTCGTCTAGCCAATGCGCAATTGGTGAACTCAATGACTTTGTTTAGGTCAGGTGATATTGGGGTCCCAAATGAATTCCATGTGGGAGGGGATATCGCTACATTGCTTCGCTGTCAACATGATTGGTCCTAAAGTCAACAATTTCCTGCTCAGCAAGCGATCTAGTTTACAAACTGGAACTGCTCTCTTCAAGCTTCGTCAAGAAACTTCGTAGGAATTGGTACATGAACCGCTCGAATGAACTCGGCGAAGCCCTTGCCCAAAGAATCTAGTAATTTCGAGCTGCTTACCCCCCTTCCTAGTGGGCCATATATGACGTAGTGTACGGCAAAAATATTTGCCATTTCCACGCGTTCGACATAGTACCGATCATTCCAGTCTTTTCCCATCAACTCTTTGATCTTGTTCCGTGTGAGGAAAGACCTTAACCACTCCCACTGAGCGGCAGTCTGTACATACAATCCGCAGTTGATGTTGCCACCTTTGTCTCCACTACGGCCAAGAACAATGTCACCAATGGGTCGCATAACTGTCGGGCCGAACGAGTCGAGTGCTGCAGCGTTGGTTGGTTCGTAGTTCTCACGCGCCTGCAAAGGCTCCGTCTTCTGTGGTGGTCCGACCACTATGACCTGCGTTTTGCCGTCTGTTGTGAGGATATTAACAGATTCCTCAAGCTCACTTTGAGGGATGGTTGCGGGGTAAAAGCCAAGGTAGGACTTGGGAATAGCAGTGCGCATATCCATCGAACAGTGCATTCCTGTCACGGTAAGCTACAAGTATATCACTAACCTGTCGTGGCATGATCCTACCTGCAAAATGTGCCATTCCATTATACATCCATGCTTGCAAAAGCTTTCCCAAAGTGCCAGCATCTTTTGCCTGCGCGAAAATTCGCAAGTAGGTCGTGGAGGCCAGTTGACAATCAGGATTCTCCATAGGTCGGCCAACTCGTTGAAAGTCAAGAATGTCAAAATGTTTAGTCAGATCCCACTCTTCTAGTTTGGACCTAATCTGAGCCTCCTGGTAGTCGTACTTCCAATCTGTCGCATACCCAGTGGCGTTCATCACCATCTCGCATTGGTATCCACCTCGATAGAACACAGCTAGTTTAGTTGTAGGGGGAGGAGGATATCCTTTTACGCCTGATACATGGACGCGCTCCTTTGCTTCCTGGACAACTTTGATGTGATTAATGTCTGCTTTCACGTCGCTGTTGAGGTAGATGTTTCCCTGAAGTTCATACAGCAGCTGGCATTTTACTGTATCGGCTGTCATAATTCCGTTCAAAGCCTCATGTTTCGTCATCACACACTCTCCATTGGCCAGGATCTCTACAATTGGAAGTCCGAGGTTCATCAGGTCCTTTACTTGATATTTATATGCCCCAGCGAAGTTGGCCCCAGTGACGTATGTGGAACATTCGATAAGATGACCAGCAATGAGTGCACCTGCAAGCTCGTCATAGTTCGTCGTGTCCCACTGATGCCACCATGCTGCAGCTGCAATCACTGGTGAAGCATCAGCCACACGTCCGCAAATGACAATGTCTGCGCCCTCGTCGAGACCCTTTTTGATTGCGCGATAGCCAAGGTAGGCATTGGCACACACAATCGGCATGTTCTTTGGGTCATCAAGAAACGACAACGAGTTGTCAGCTAGCTGCACTTCCGCATTAGCTTTATCTAGGTGGCTATATGTGCCTGCTTTGATACTACTCAAGATTTCGTCGACCTTGTGCATCAGATTATCGCCTTCAACGTAAGCAACTTTCAGGTTCAGGTTTTTCTCTTTTACCTAGGTCATGAAGAATAAGCTCTTAATCTCGATTTCAAGCACTGAATATGGCTTACCGCTTCGTGGACTCTTTCGGCCAAGCCCCTCGGGTTGAGACCGCCACCATTGAGCACAATCTTGATTCTCTTCTCATTTGCGAGCTCCATAGTCTGCTGGATTCCATCCCATGCGGTAGGTATGTAACCTGGAACTTTGCCAGCATGGTATTCTTCGGCCTGGCTAGCTAGATTGAGTTCTTCATGATCACCTTAGTGCTTGCCCCGGCACTACCACACGATGCGACTTGAACGTACCTGCGAGGTAGTCCCCGGTAATTACATCTACTGGACCATACTTTGCTTGGTTGAACATATGGACACCCGGATCGCCTTTATTCCCGCATCAGCACTTCATTAATCCTTTGATGGCAAAGAAAACGCACCCGCTGCTCCTGAACAATTGGCCACTCGCACTGCTCTCTTTGGCGTCGACATGATTGTGATGACAACTCGCTACTTGCAAGACTCCCGAATATCGATATAATCAAAAAAAAGCAGAAAGAATCGTTAGGACCGTCTCACAAGTGTATCAGAGAGCCACTAAAGCTTTGAATATGGATAACAGCGAAGCCAATATGAGAAGCTATCGGGGTATTATTTGCGGGTAAGCGGGACGGAATAGTAAGTTCGAGGAGTAAACGGCGATGACAGAGTCAGCGCCCTCGGGCGGATGGTCCGCATCGCTACGATCAGCCCGAAGACCCCAAGCCTAGACTATCAACACCACACCTAGTCATTGTGGGGAAAGGCGGCATCCGAGATTTGTCAACGATTGGCGGAGCCATGTGTGGGGCTCTGTCACCGGCTGCACGGTAGTAAGGGTCTGCGTGATGCATTGACTCGGCGTTTACAAATTCCCCGCACTACCCGTCGAATGAGATTCAGCGACCTATGTTTCCGGTGACACGGCCAGATTGCGATCCGGAATCCCGGCAAGGGATTAGGTAGAAGATTATTTCTCTTCGCTCATCCTTACGATAGCAAGTGTTCATTTAGCCACTCCGACAAAGGTTAATCTTTGAGCATCTACCTCTCTTAAGCTCGGTAACCCCTGGCTTACTAGCTACTATTTTCTTCGTACTTGCCGATTTCCTTTTCCGTTCTCTTGCATTCGTACGACTATCTAGTTCAGTCTATACGAGCTCAAGTCAAGATGGTTGCCGCTGTAGAGTATTCAATACCCAAGGAAGCTCAAAGCGTATTTGAAAATGGCATCTTGCAAAACCCCCTCATGAACGATCTGCCAGCCGAAGTGCAAGGATTGAGCAAATTCGTGCGATTCGAAGGCTCCAACAACCCAAGTATTCCAATCAACTGGCGATTCGCCGAGAGCATTTCTGCTTTGAAAGCTTTCGAAGGGGTGATGCTAAACAATCTTCTCACTAAGAAGTACAAGATCGATCCTGTGGAGATGACGATCAACACGTTAGTTTCTTCTTTGACGTATGGAATCGTTTACGGAATTGACAAGAGTGGCAGAGATCATGCTTCGTTGTTCTTCATGTCACCCGTGGTATCTCAGCTAATCAAGGACGGAAAGCCTGTGCCGATTGGCCCACTTTCTGAAGAAGTCGCCCGTCTATTTCCCAACCAAGATAAACATAGATCCCTGGCGAATCTGCACCGCAGCTTGGCCACTAACATCTACAAAACAAAAGATGGACGGTTCTATCATCTCCATGGTATGCAATTTTCCAGCAGACTCGGCATGAGCAATCAATTTCTAGGATTTCATGATAACGTACCTCTGTTCTAGGAAGCATGAACCCCGACCCAACACTGACTGCACTCGGTCTTCCATTGGATGGCGAACCAAACGATACAATGGAGTCTGTCGTCGAGAGAATCCAATCAGTGGTCTCAAAAATTGATTCTGCAGCTCTAGATGAGCTCATGAATGAAAAATACCGACAGGCAGGAACAATCGCCTGGTCTTCAGAAGAGTATTTCGCCAGCGAGCACGGTCAGAAGAATGGTCGTACCGGCCTCTATGAAATCAAAAAAGACGCCGCATCATCTCAACCGGCATCTTGGTGGCCAGACCACAAGAGTCATCCGTCTTCTCCAAAACGACCGCTTGCTGGGCTCAAGGTCGTCGACTTAACACGGGTAATCGCTGGCCCTTGCATCTCTCGCAGTTTAGCGGAAATGGGGGCCAGCGTCATGCGCGTCACATCTCCCCATATCACAGATTTGTCCCCAGTCCACCAGGATCTGAATTGGGGCAAATGGAATTGTTACCTGCATCTCAAGGATGATGGCGACAAAGAGAAGCTGCGGGAACTTATTTTACAGGCAGATGTGGTTGTCGATGGATATCGTCCGGGCGTGATGGAGAGGCTGGGCTTTGGAAGAAGTGCCGTGTTTGACTTGGTCAAGGGTCGGGACCGTGGAATCCTTCACGTAAGGGAAAACTGCTACGGATGGCAAGGTCCGTGGAGTCATCGAAGTGGCTGGCAACAGATCAGCGATGCAGTAAGACGCATTTTCTTCGAGGCTTATGTTGGCACTAATAACAAGTCACTAGTGCTGCGGCGTATCATTGTCGTTTGGCAAAGCTATGGGACACGATGAGCCAGTGACTCCTGTATTTCCCAACTCAGATTACTGGTATGTTATAATGATCCGGGTGGGTAACTGAAACTCTGACCTGGAACTGTAGCACCGGCGTTTGCGGAAGTGCAGCTGTCTTAGATGCGCTTAGCAAAAGAGCTGAAATTGGCGGCAGTTATGGGGTTGACGTAAGTGGCAAGTTTGAATTTGATTGAAGTATAAGTTTGACCTTCTAACAACCATTTTTTCGCTGAACAGGTTGCGCTCAATTATTATTCTCAATGGCTTGTCCGCTCCTGCGGAACGTATCCCACCGATGTTTGGGACAAACTTTGGAGCAAGCACGGATCGCCCGTATTTAGGCATTACCACGCGATGCAGTTCTCAGTACCAGTAATACTCAAGCTACTTTACCAACACGATGCCAAGGTATTATTCAACCAGTCGTTCTTCGAGTCTCGAAGGGCCAGTCACCTGGGCGCCACATTTATCCAGGTGAAACCTGTTATTCAATTTCCAAATCAAGATGTCGAGTTGAAGTATCAAGTCGGAACTCGGGGAAACGGGGTTGACAAGCCCATCTGGCCTGATGATCTAACCGTAGAAGTAGTAGAATAGAAAAATCAATCAACTATGCGCCTTTAGCGGGCTTCAACCCCTTTTGAAACTTCTGGTGCGGTTTTCATGATCCGGTTTAGTCTGTATGCAGTCGTAAGAGGCATTCACAATCTATACTCTAGGCAAAGGGCTGCAGTATGGTTATAGACATGTTTAAACAAGACTTGCTCCCATAAGTCTAGACTAGCCCGAAGAATTAAGAGACATCTCTAACAGGGACTGAAGTACATACGGGTTGAGTTACCAGACTTACAGATTCTTCTCGACTCTGGCTAATTAGAATGGCCACCGAAGCCGCGATCAGCAACAAACGACGAGTCTTTGGGCAAAAACACAATATGAATGAACAGAGATTAATCCCCGCATCGCAGTCATGGAACCCAAGATCAATTTCGCAGCTTGGTTCTTCCCAACTAGTCTTCTTGTTTGGGGAGTAGGCACTTTTCTACGGCCCTTCTTTACGTAGTTGTCTCAATCTGCACACCAAAATGAACTCATAGCACACTTCATAAGCTTGATGGCCGCGGTTCGCGCTCTAGGAGGCAGCATCGGTATCATGTTCGAACAAAGTCTTCAGCAACAAGGAGCATGAGATCCTGCTAGGCGGAGCGACTAGTGCCCTCATAGAGTAGAGGCGGGGATTCCTGGCCGATCAGGCCGAGAATGTCTTTGCACTGGCTGCGCGCGGCGCTACTAGCGGCATGGCCGAGAATCAGGAAGTGACGCCTATAGTTCTCCCCATGTATTCAAAGGCAAGAGCAGAAGGGCTGGCAGGTTGTCATCGCTATATCTGGTACAGTCTCATGCCTTTCGCCGCAACCGTCCTGGTCCTTGCCTTCTTCCTGAAAAAAGCACCCGAGCCTAGTTGACGCGGGAGGTGGTCGCTGGTGTCAACCAAAGTGGACATGGCCACTAAGGGTCAAATATTAAGAAATAAACTCAAGACCTTGGCATGAGTTTTCCTGAAAAGTGAATACCTTGGTTCATCGTTTGCAGCCTTGAGCCAAGAGCGGTACTGCTCAGTGACTTGTTACTAGCATAGATTCTTATACGCGTGCTAATTTCGAGGTTGTTGGGTATTGTACTCGCCTTATCGACCAGTGTAGCACCTCCAGTAGTAACCAGAGTTGCTTCTGTTTTCCCACTTTCCACATAGCTCAACACTCTTTCGAACTGCGTCTTGTCCACGCGTCGACCGATGATTGTCGTGTCCTTGTTTGGATCGCCAAAAGATGCGTCTAGGGACTCGAAACGCTGTATTCATGGCTTGGCACAAACTTCGCTTTGATATCCTTGTGCACATATGTAGATGCGGGAACTGGTAATGCACAGCCTGACCGCTGTTGCCGACTATGGCCCTGGAGTGGCACCATTGGACTGCGGCTTGGAGGTGAGCATCGGGGAACACACTATGCTTGGGCTCTTGCCACCCAGTTCTAGAGTCACTCGCCTCAAGTTGCTCGAGCCTGCCATCTGTGCTATCTTCTTCCCAGTGTTGACGCTGCTGGTCAAGGAAATCTTTATCAATCCGTTGTCGGGAGGGAATGACTCCCCCTCCAGCTTATCGCACCATCCAGCATCATCTGTAATCTTCATGTTAGCAGAAGTGGCTTTATATACATACCTGCTGAGACGCTAGGAGTCTCCAGCTTGCCGCGGTGAATTGTGATTGTGAGTCAAGTTGACATTCAACAAACATGCTGTAGCCTTGTCCCAATTAAAATGGCTTCTCAAAGTGAATTTGGAATTAGGGTTGAAATCTCAGTCACCAGTGATTTGAAGTAGAATGCTGTCTCTTAGTTGAGTGTGTACAAGTCGCTTTGCGGAACGTCACTGAAGATGTCACAACCCGAATCATAGATGATGCGATACTCCATGTCTTCATGATGATACGCTAGTGTTGAAATTGATGTAATGCAGGTCGAAACTCGAAAAAAAAAACTATGCTGCTAATCGATATGCTGAAAATGTCCCCCAATGCAAACCAAAAAAAAAGGTATCCCGCATCGCAAACCATGCTATCTCCTCACATTTCCTTCAAGAGCTGCTCTGCGGCGCCTCTCCGCCAACTGCTCCATGAAATCGTTTAACTCGGCCGCATGTGCCCGCCGCGCTAGTTCCGTCGCCCGACGAAGCTCACGTATGTTTGCCTGCAAACGAGCTATATCGTGTCCTGGTTGGACATGCCCAACCGCATCTGGAATGACACGATCGCGTAACAAGTTCCGAAGGGCAGCGTAAGCTTGAGGTCTAACAATGCTGGTCAGGGGGATGATTCAGATGACAGCGCCGACACTGTGGTAAGAAAGGATGGTAGAACTGAAACTCATATGGTCGCCGTGGTGGAACAGCACCGTAGAAGTTGATGGGTTGAACAGGAAATACAGGTTGATATGGAATTGGTTGTTCCGGCTGCACAAGACCAGGAGCATAGAAAATGGGTGGGCGGGGATGTACGTACTGAGGTGCCGGTCGTGGTGGGAGTACTTGTTGGGCTGGAACCAGAGGTTGCGGTGCACCTACTTGACCAGCACGCGGAAGACGGTGGAGCTGATCACCAACCATATGATAAGGAAATGCATGCGCCTCGGCTTGCACTCGACCTCTGCGTGCCTCCTCTGCTTGCTTGACCTGGTCGGATACCTTGATCATAAGATCTGCGTCTGAAAAGCCCGGATTTTCAGCTCGGACTTTGGCCATAGCTTCGTCAGCTGCTCTTTTGACTTCCTGTTCATGACGTTCTTCGACATTTTCATGCAGAGGACACTTGCCTACCTGGCCATCACCAAAGTGTCTATAGTCGATTACATTTTGAGAGCAAACATAGCTGAATCAGCGTCAGTACATTTCTGGCTGAAGATCCAGCGTTTCAACTCACCACTGCAAGTTCCTACAATGCGTGCACGTCATCTTGTTACAGCCTTGTTCCTTGATAAACGGATGCTTGCACTTGTTGCAATGACGTATCAGGGCTGCCGACATGGCTTCTTCAACTATGTGTCTTAGCGTAATCTGACCGTCTTTCTTGGACTCCTCGCAAGTCAGTGGAATATGCGATTCCTTCTGGCAGAGGCGGCAGCTTGTCTTTCCACACTTGGTATTTTGACAACGAAACTCCTTGTCGACTTCGACAGGCGGACATTCCATTTTGAAATCGCAGAAGGGACATTCGGAAAGAAAGTCTAAACCAGCTGCTTTCAGATCCTCCATCTGCTGCATGTGCTCCAATCGTTCGAACGTCTTTTCGCTCAACACATGCTGTAGCTGTCTGCGTAAGAAAGTCCCGTCACAGTCATCGACCCCAAAGCATTTGGGTCTGCAACGCGATTGACCCATTTGCGTCTCGATTTGTCGGCATATGCAGGTTTTGCAATAAAAGTGCACCATGTCGCCACTGCAGCCGAACATGCGGTTCAGAGGCACATCGTCGAAACAGCATGCACACTCGCCCATCAGGTTGTTCATCTGGGCGTCGAGTAGGTTGGCTTCTTCCGCCTGTTCTGCTTCCTGTATCTTGCGGCGTTTTGCTGGCAGTTGTTAGCTAGAGAATCTGGCCATCAACACCACACTAGGAACTAAGCATTTGTGACGTTACTCCTAGGCATGGTCTACTTGTTAGTCCGTATTGCAAAAGGCACTCACCAGCTTCAAATTCAATCTTCTTCTTTGCTGCATGTAGTTCCTTGGGTAGTTGACTGCCCTTCTCAATCAACATAAATTCAGTGCCGCGCTTGTTGCGGGATTTGTTGATTCTGGTAAATGGTCCAGCAATGAGCCCGTAGTCGCGCACTTGTTTCTCGAGAAGACAGTAAGCTTTGTAAAGTGTCTTTTTTTCTTGCAAAACCATCGTTATATGTCGTACAGGGACGTTGGGAAATTCATCCTTGAGGAGCTCTATGCTGCACAGTGTGTTGTCAGTATGACGAAGCAAACAAGTAGCATTGCGCTATCAAAGCACTGCTTCTTCTCTTCAAGGTGCCAGTCTTGCGCTGTTCCATGGCTAGATTGCAGTGTCTACAGTGAGTATTTCATGATTCCATGTATTGCTACAAGAAGCGAACTTGAAGTTCTGTCTAGAAGCAACGTCGCACTTGTTGAATCGGATTTTACACGTAGGTATGCATACTACTTGCACTACAGCAGCTGTGAATGGGTACTTACGCGTCGTGCTCATAACCATAAACCTGTGGGCCACGCTCGCCCTTTTCATAGCCGCTCAACTCATGTTCGGATTCGTCTTCTCGCTTTCTCTTTTTTTCGTTTGCTTCTTTCGGGTATGGTTCGCCTTCTAGAAGCTCGGCGATGAGATGCTCGCATCGGGCCGTTGTTCGCGTGGCGTCTGTTGTCTTCTCCTTGATGAGCTTGAGCACATGCTCAACGGAGATGTCCGGCAATACGCTGAGAATCATTTGCAGGCAGGCAGTCTCAGTAAGCATACGACTATGTGCATTCCGGTCAGAAGCTTGGCCATCGGGCTGCGGTACATTGCCCTGTAACCTGACGGGACTTGACGGCGGAACATCAACATCTGGGATGGCGGTCAAGTCGATCGTCTCGGGATCAACGACTGGTGGTCCTCCACAGGGTTCTGCAATATTCCCGTCAATGTGCGGGTTGTTCTGCGCGGGCCCTGCTGCCGGTCTTGCAATGAGACGTTCCGACTCCTGCTCTGCATGGCCCTCATCTTCTGTTTCACTATCAGAGAGGACGACAATTTCTCGACTCACGCGAAACCCAGGCGGAGCCATTGAACTCTCAAAATCTTAACAGAGTTTTTTTTTCGCATACAGGAGAGATCGGGTGACGTGGTGGTGATTCTAAAGACCGAGCTCGCAATGTGTAGTTACCAGAGCAGTGCTCAGACTGAGTGACAGCCAATCCGTGTGTAGGGTCTCAGGAGAGGACCAAGTGATAGACATTAATGTGTACTTATTTACGTGGTCTGGTGAAGGCAAACGATCGCGAGGGGCATATGTGCGTAGTGTTTACGTGAACAAGACCAGTTCAACTTCACTCGGAGGCAGCCTCGTCAGGCACCTTGGTCAGGCACCTTACCGACCCTCAGCGTCTTTCACAGCCAATGCGCAGTGAACGTGAAGAGGAAGAGAAAACAAAGAGAGCGAGCGCGAGGTTCAGGTTGAGATGCAGTGTGCAGTGTTGCGAATATTCTAGATGTAAGCAGGCCTGAGGTTGGAGGGGGCTACGTATCGCGGAAGGGGCAGCGGAGCGGGCAATGGTACGACCGAAAGGTGAGTTGAAGCAACAGCTACGTGCCACGACAACACACTTGGATGCACGGCTATTACAGCACAGCCAGCATTCAGCAGAACAGACAGTGCATATCGACTTTGAGCAATAATACAGTGGTGATGGTTAAAAGACGGCGGCTTTGCCCTAGCGATGGGGCACAGTTGGTTTGAGGCTGGCACCGCCGGCTAGCGAGGCTGAACCGCCGCTAATGACGAGGCATTGTCACAAGCCTGCCCTCGCGTTGTACTGGGCCGATAAGAAGCAATGTTCGTGATCATCAGTCATGGCCATGGTCGTGATAAATAAACAATGAGTGCACACACTAGCCCGCAACTCTCCGTGAGCGGGCAACCGGCTTCATGCAAGATCTAAAGCTACTCGCGAATCGGACGGCGGCACATGACCCATGGCAAGCAGTGGCATCCGAACTCGCTTTGCCACGGCATACAACGGGCCGCCCAACGTCACGTACCCATCCCAGTGTCTTTGGGGGGAATCCGGGGTTGGCTATAAGTTTGCACGGAGAACCAAGGCGGAATGGAGCCACGGGGACGCGGGGTGTTCTGGACTAAACAAAGACCCACTGACGACGAGTTCCTTTTCCTGCTTAGCACTCCGTCATTTGATACCGACATAGCCAATCCATCGCACCCGAGCGGCCCACTGCTTACTCGGTACGGTATCGTCCCTGCTTCGAGCGTGCATGGGAACTGGGCCGAGCGCATGCCTACGACGCCCTACGACAGCTTGACAAGTAGTCATCGGGAGGTGGACGAGTGAAGGTTATAAAGAACAAGGCCATATCGCAACCCGGTCCTCTTGCAAAATCAACACAGCAATCATGGCCATCACCGATAACCTCCCCAAAGGCGACTCTCCCTCCCTGGCACTCGTCCACCCTACTGATGCGGAGAAGTTGATGCAATTCAAGCTCAATGGGGAGGAATGGCGTGGTGCTCTTAAGCTGCCAGCCTATCTCCGCCGTGAAGACGTGCTCGCGGCGACTGAGATGACCCGTGATGGTGGCATCTCGTACTGGATCCTGGTCGACACTTCATTGCCCAACAATCCGCTAGATCCACAGTCCCGGACGAGGTTGCCGCTGGCGAGTTGTGAAACGTACCGAAAGAAGGCGTGGGTATGGCAAGATGGCACGCTCAAGGAAGTCATCTGTCACGGCGTCGGAAGCGTGTTCTGCGCCAACCACCTGCGAAAACGTGGTTATGCACAGAGGATGATGACCGAGCTGGGCGAGACATTGAAAACATATCAGACAGAAGACGGCACAGAATGTTTGTTCTCGGTGCTATACTCGGATATCGGAAAGGTAAATACTTTGTTGCTATGCGAACTTGTCAGCAGCTAACAATGGGTAGAAATTCTACAACACCTTTGGCTGGGAGCCCTTCTCATCATCGCACGTGTCCATTCCCGGTACTGTCAGCCAGGACAGCAGCAGCCTGCCCACAGCGCGACCGCTGTACGCAGAAGATCTGCAAGACCTGTGCGAGACCGACGTGGCTCTTGTCCGCCGAGAGCTAGAGTCGCGGCCAAAAGGAAGCAACACAGCTGTTGCTCTGATTCCCAATATCGAGACGATCCGCTGGCACCATGCGCGCGAAGAATTTGTGGCGAATGAGCTTCATAGCAAGAAACCGCAAGTCAAGGGCGCCATTGTGGGCACGGAAAAGGGCAAACGCGTATGGTGCTACTGGACGCGCATGTGGTATAATCAGGACCCGACGGACACAAAGGGCAACACGCTGTACATTCTGCGAGTGGTGACTGAGGATGGTGGTTGCGAGGGCTCGTCGAGCCATGCCAACGGCACAGCTCGAGACGATAGCCATGCGGATGCCGTTGCAGCCTTGCTGGCCATGGCGCAGCGAGAAGCAGAGGAGTGGAAGATGGAGAAAGTCGAGATGTGGGCGCCCTCACTTACTGCGCTTGCAGCTGCGAAGAGACTGCATCCAAGTGCCAATGTCGTCCACAGGGACGTCGATAGTGTCGCAAGCCTCAGGTGGTATCCGGAGCACAAAGGCCCGGTAGCGAATAAGATCGACTGGGTAATCAACGAGAAGTACGCGTGGTGCTGAGGCACGCACGTCGCAAGCATAGACTGAATGCGCAAGCACAGCGAGCAGGCGTTGTTTGTAGCGGTACGTACATACTAGTAATTTCTCCATGGGTTGTTTTCCACTTGTATTCGTTCGGTCACCATCTGCGTCGTTCCTTCCTCAATGAACTGGACTAGCCAGAAGCACCAATGAAAAAACAAAAACCTGTCAGATTGCCGTCAACGTCCTGCCTTCCAGTGCGACCGAAGTACACAACCAGTCAGCTGAAGATCATCGCCACGCTTGCCGAAGCAATCGTAATAAGGCCTCACTCCGGGACATCGAGGCTCTCAGTCATCAGCCAGGCTGGAGATTCTGTGGCTACTTAGAGTAACTCAGAAGGAGAAGCATACTATTAGAAATGATTCTATGAAGTCTGATATCGTCGTTAGCAGGGCTGTCGAAAGTATGGGGGGCTTTTCTTTTTTCATACATGATCGTGTACAGCAGAACAGAGGGGATGGGCGAAGTGCAGTATTTAAGGTGTCGCACATGGCTCGTGCGCAGCAGATTCACGTGAGTGAGCCTCACCGAGTCCGTGCACGTGAGTGAAAGCTTGCGAAAAAATTGCTTGCCAAGACTAGCGACCCAGTGTTTTGCCGACTCTTGACCGCGGGTGAGAGTGAGTGATTGGTGGTGAGAGTGAGCGATTGGTCACAAATGGATACATGAGAGAGCTGAGGTGTGGGTGAACTCCACTGGACCCGTTCACGGCGCAGACTTTGCAGTCGCCCATGCGAAGAGTTTGCCAATTGCAGCCTCACGTGCCGCACCCTGTCCTGGTCCTGCTCTGAAATCGGAGTTGTTGCGCTGAACGTACCGAGGAATCGTCGCATTGGGACACTGCCCGTGGGAATCGCATTGCAATTGGCTAGTGTGGCTGGTTCGTCGGCGTGCAAAATCGGCATACCTGGCTTCGTCATGGCACAAAGTACATGTCGTCGTTGAGCGCAAGCATGATTGCATTGGGTAGGCAATTTGTGCATGCAGTCATTTTTTTTTTGCGAATGCTTCTGTCTACCTGCTGCATCATGTGCAATCATCGCGTCACTCGATAGTAGCAGCCATCTATGTTGGTGCATCAAAAAAAGTTTATATACTTCTCTTTCCAGGTCCGCACTAAGGCCAGTAAGCTTTACCCTAGTATTCCATAAAAGTCATCTCGCGAGATAGTAGAGTAGTATACTTGGTAGAAGAGAGATGATAGGTTGAGTAACTGTTAATCTACATGCATTACTATAGACTGATAGGTAATCATCTTATCAAGTAAATGTAGTAAGAAAGTATCATTCAAGTCAACTACAACGAGAGTAATAATGAAGTCTATCTATCCTGATGCCCTTACATAAGCTGCTCAGTTCGTTGGCTTTCTGTTCTTTCTGCTTCACTGGGTTTCCTAAAATTCGCCATGTGCCTGCCTATACTTGAAGCTTATGAGGTGCTGCAACTATTAAAAGTATACGAATAACCAAGAAACGCAACGTGTCATCGCAAAGCATTTACGGGAGCCGGTCAGCTCCGAGTAGACACTTGAAATACTGTATGAAACCTATGGATCTGCTGCGACTGTTGCACACGAGAACGATGAAAACAGTAGCCGCTCAAGTATGCTTCAATCATATGTTAAGGCTGGAATCAGCAAAACTACTACACTAAGACAATCTTTGAAGTTGGTAAACTTTCCAACAGCTTCCTTACAGAAAGCAGATGAGTCTTCCTCCGTTCCTGATTTTCAAGCTTTTGCCCGAAACTATTACAAAGCCTTCCAGCAGGATGATCTAGAGTGACCGATCCAATCCGCTCAAAACAATTGCTGTTGGGTTTCTGCCTTACACGAATTGCCCGGAAGAACCCACTCTCCTGTGATTCTGCAGATATCGGAATAATGAACCCAGACTGGTCCGGATCAGAATCACGGGTTTCAATATCGTCCACAGCGTACGAAACATACAGATGATCCAGATTTGTTATCGTTTGGCTGAGCCCATCATCGTAGTCTTGGGAGTGAGCAAAGAAGGTCTGCGCGTCCAGAAGTGGAGCTCTTAGTGTGAGCGTGATAGGTGCAGACTTGCACATGAAATCCTGAGCGCAGCTTGTGTAGCTGATATCCTCAATACACACAGATTCGAGTGAGCGATGGTGATCTTGAGACCAATGAACCTGTCCGTCAAATGATGGCCATGACCAAGACGGATAGCAATCTAATTTTTGCGTGTCCAAAGTCGCCTCCAAACTCCTCTCCCAAAGAAGGTCTAATAGCAGGGACCCCTCCCATGATCCAGTCAGATATCGGTCATCTGATCGTAGCCTTGCCATACGCTGAGCTAAGCCAGCAAGGGCAGCCATCTTGTCTCGTTTGAAACTGAGCTGAAGCCTGCTGTACTCTGCAATCATTCGATGCCAGAGTCTTGTTGGATTTGCTTCGAGGCTAGCATAAGAGACGTGGTGATCATTCTTCATTCCAACCGGAGGGTTGACAAGGTCTCTATCGTTTTCCCCGCTTTCGCTTTGCTGACAAGTGCGGCATACCCAGATTACTTCTTGAGCGCAAAAGTGCAACACGCGTTTGGACAATCGCATTTCCTGATAGATCCATGCGCGATTGAAGAGTGGCTAGTCCATATTCTCGTCCATACTCCTGCCATCCGAAAGCTGAGGGAAGTTAGGCACACTTTGGCGAACATACGTATCCTTGTATCCAGGCACGAGTTTTGACATGTACTTTGCTGCAGTCGATGAGAAGCAGCCTCCAGTACCGTCCTCAGACTTTGTTGCTGCAATAGTAACGCATGCATTCTCGTAGATATCAGCCATCTTGGGAACCTCGGTGCACCAGTCGTCTGTGCTATCTTGAATAATGCACAATGAGTCAATCCAGAGATAGGAAATGTCCAAAGCGCTACATATGTCAACCGCGTCTTGGAAGGTTGCACTAAGATCGTCCCAGGGTATTTCAACCCTGTGGCTATCGAGATTTTTCGTCGTCGTTTTGATGGGCTTGCTGGTGCCCCAGCAATGGCTCAAACAGGCATAGCGCTCCACCGGGATGTCCTCCAGTAGTGTTATTGATCTTCCTTCCAAATGAAGAAATCTCTTTGCGCGGTTAAATCGAGAGGGCTCATGCTTGTGTTGATTTGTGCATCTGTCATGGGTCGTCTCGCATTCTTCCATCCATCTTTGCATACTGGCAATGGATCCTGCAGAGTCAGTCCTGCCTGCGAGGTGTTTAAGATATTTCTTAGTAGAATCACAACTTTGAAACGGATTCGTCTCCTGTCCTGAGTGGCTTGTGAGTATTATGTTGCAGGACAAAAGAAATATAGCCTAATGTCATCCCAGTCTACTTCCAAGATGCAGCTGATTTCGCGATTTAAGGTTGATGACAGCTAGGAAAAATTGCTACTTACCATTAGATGTGTAAATAGATAAGTGAATATAGTGCTCTCCCTCTATGACAACCATCAAATTGTCCCACGCGGCGGCGATACTTGTAATTGATTCGACATGAGGGATGGTCAACTCCACACAGCTGGTGATGAACGCACATCTGAGACAGCCCGCTTGTGCACTTTCAGATAAATCGGTGTACTTGAGATCTAGCAAGGAACTGGGTGACTTGTCGCAGACATTGCACCCCATTGTAACACATAGTTGGATCGAGGAAGACCTCCGGGGAGTACATACATAGCATTGGTCTTTTCGCGTTGTACCCCGTGGCAATGTGTCGTTGGATACTCGTAAATGCGACCCACACCCATCCAATAATTGTTGGCAAATCAGGCGTCGTCACGTTTCATGCTCGAACAGTGTGGCAATTCGCTGGCGTATCAAGGCAAAACTATTGGTTTTGTCTCCCAAGATCGAAATGCTGCTTTCTCATTGCAGGAGAAAAGCAAATCACAAACATATGCGCACTTAATCTTGTTGCTACGTACACCACCTCGCGTTCAGAAGCCGGTGGCGTTACTACGAAATGTTAGAGTTGAACGGTGCCGAGTAGCGAGCATAGCATACAAGTACTTGTTGGACCGGGATAACTAAATATAATGTTTTATTATAGTAATCTAATTAATTCTTAATTAGAAAAACCTCTTCTAGTCTAAAAATAATATAATATCAACAATGCGACTAGAGCTAGAATTGCACAGGGGCTAACTAGCTCTAATTACTATTCTTATACAGTCGATCACATCTTGGTAAGAAGTGATATTGTGTCGTACTAAATGAGGATCCAATTTAATTAAGCTTCTTGGGGCAAGTCGTGCCAAGATGTTTCTAGTTAATAAGTAGTAAGCTCACAGGGGGCTAAGCAATGCCACGGTGTGCCCAAACGTAACCTTAAGTATCAGCTACGCAGACAACAACGGAGCTTTGTTGTCTTGTGCCTGCCTTTTTAGCAGCGTTGTAGGCGCGTGTAGCTGCGTGCTCGGCTCCGCTAGAAGCCCTCCCTGACAAGCAAAAGGGGTTTATTGATATGACCGAACAGGATATTAGTGCATAAATTCACGTACCACTTCGTATTTCTATGAAGATCGCAACATGGGTACGCCTGCGCAATCGCGTTACGATTGTTCTTAGTGAGTGTTATTTCAGTCCCTTAACGAAAAATCCTATCCTACTATGGGCTTCCGACTTTCTAAGGCTCACAGCTTCTGTTGGGTTTATGAACATCAAATGGTGGGTTGAAGGTAACGCTCTGATGGGTACAAATTGACCTTATATAAGCTATCCTTAATAAAGCAAGTAAGCCGAGTAGTTTCATGTGGGTCACTAGGAACGAAATGATTCATTGGACGACCGAGTCATTGGAGTTACGTAGATATACGGTCTTTCCACCTTCTAAAAATATATCAGTAGGGCCGAATGATTATTGCAACCTTAGGATTGCAACATTAGGATGCACGGATGTATACCAAGGTACATAAATAATGGCGGTGACGCTCAAAGTAATGAAAATGCGATAGCTTGTCAGATTCAACCTTAATCCTAATTCTCATCAAGGTTTACTCAAACTACACAATGAAGTTCCTTTCTGCCGCTTTCATGTTCGGCTTTGCCGCCGCCGCCGCCGCCGCCGCCGCCGAAAACGTCACCATCTCCAACTTCCACTATGTCGCCGTCAGTGGCTACCCACAGATCTCCTTTGACCTATCCGTCGATAGCGAAAGCTGCGAAGCTGTCAACTACACTGTCCCTGGATTTGGATACCCATGCGATAAGAAGGCCGAGTGGACTTTTGATGTGCTCAGTTTTGATGTGATTGCGAATGGAGGTCGCCACATTCGTCTCCACCACACCGTCGAAAAGTAAGCTGTGGACTGATGTGACAGAGATTAGCAATTACTAATATCATTCTAGTGTTAATTACACTGGTGACTTTGATATCCGTCTGACCGGTCCTATTCCTACTGTACTTGATCAAGTTGGCACCTCTACGGCTGAAATGGAACCAACATCATAGAAGTCTACCAGTGGTAGAAACAATAACTTGAAGAGAACTGTATTATTTGTATATATACCATACAATCTCAAAGTAATTCAAATAGCAGACTGATCTTGGGCACGAACAGTAATGATAAGGAATTTAAGGCAAGCGGAGTTAATGTTCGAGCCTACACGATATCCTTGACAGAGTGACCATGTTGAGTTGAGTCCGACTGAAAGAGGGGCTGGTAGGCCTGCGGCGCGTCTACAAGCTTCGACAAGCTCATAGAGTTCGTTGTTGATGTAAAAACGCCTGACATCATCTTCTGTAGGACGCCAAACAGGATCTGTAACAGTGCCGAGATAGATCATGAAAAAAGTCTCGGCGAAGCAGATTAACCACGGATATCGCGTGTCATCATATTGTGCAAGGCCGCGAAGGCACACAGTCGAGTTGGGCTTCAGGACAGCCTGGTCGTGTCTGCCGCACTTATGTTTTACCAGCCGTTGCATATATTCGTACCAGCGTTGAGCGAACCCAAATTTTCCCGTGGCGGAACCTACGTAGAGCTGTCGGATTTGCTCGAATTCTTCCTTGATATGCAACACGTCGACATAAACACCTTTTTCAAGGTTCTTTGCGACCGACCATCGTGGGAGGTTTACTAGGTCGTCCAGCGTGAAGTCCAGATTCCCAAGAGTGAAATGAACCGAATTATCAATTCCGCTTAGGAGATTCTCCAGTAAAAAATCTTCGGATGCTCGGCATTTAGAAGCCGCGGACTTCAAAAAGCTGACGATTTTACGAGCAGTCTCTACGAAGCGGTCTTGCCGTTCTCCCTCTTGGATGTACGAAGTTGTATCGACTTCAAGCTTTCCCAGCTGCGGATGCGAATCCATCCTCTATTTCGGAGGCACGTTCTGGACAGTTGCCTGCATTTCTTCTTCATCGAGGATTTGGTCTTCATCCTTGAGGTGGACTCCCGTCTCTTCGAAAATCTCGCTTTCATTGCCAGGTAGGGCGATCATGGCCTGGCGTTTTGCAGCGGTTTTTCTTGCATTGCCCTTTCTCTGAAAACCGAGAAGCCTTGGATAAAACCTCTTGCTTTCGGCTGAACAATCGACCGAAGGTTGGTGTATATCGGCCTCTTCTTTATCTTGAGAAGTGTTAGTCTCCTCAAACGTCGATTGTATGGCATTAGTGGTCTCGTCGTCATTATCTTCGTCGTCGTCCACCATGATCCATTCGTTGTCTTCATCTGTGGTGGCTCTTGGATTAGCATCAGAACTCTCTTCTGCCTCTTCCGACTCCACAGACTGCTCGTCAGCAGTCTGTGGAGGATCGGCCGGAAAAGCAGCTCGCTATACGTCAGAAGGACGCTTCTATTTCAAGTTCCTAAAATTTTCACGTTTCGTTTCGATTTTTTTCTTTTTTCTTATGTTTTCTCATATAAAGCTCACGATTTTTCAAAATTTACGTATGCATAGATGGGGCTTTCTATTTTCTTTATGTTTTTTCTTTCTTTATCTATGTAATGATGTTTTTTAGTTCATGTTAGTACAAAAGTTAATGGGAGGATTAAATAGTTAATGATATCATGAAATCTCTACTTGGCATCACCCACTTTCATCCGGACACGAGCGGATACCCAATCACGTGAATATTACACCCCGGGCTGCTTACCGGCCCCCAAACTTTGAATAACAAACGACAACATTCTCCCTTTCCCGTCTCTTCCGCTACCTATCCTTCATCACGTACATCAATCATCATACCTCCCATGTTAGCCACCATATCGCCCAACCTCGCCCGTTGCCTCTTCCACTACCCACCAGTGTGGGGCTTCCGCATCGCGTTTCGCCTTGGCATGACAGCGGGATATCTTGGGCGTAGTCTGCGCACTGGGTTTAACGGGTACTTTGAACTTCGTCGGTTCACGCGTTTGAGCTTGGGGAGAATGCGGGGTTGAGATGGAGGCGGACTATTATGTGAATTGTGTAGCGTGGACGCGGTTGCTTTCGTGAAGGAGTCCTGCGTGTAAGGGGAGACTGGAATCATTTGAGCATGCGTTCAACCGGCAGCCTTTTGGCTGGGTGGCCTCATGTTTCATTTGGGTGTTGGTGTTGCTCGAGAGCGATGGTTGTGGGCTTTCAGGCTGAACTTGATTGTAGTTGCGAATTGGGGGTTCTGTTGGCGTTTATGTCTGTCGTTATTACATCCTTTCGGAACCATGGAGCTAGGGAGCACGCTGAACATACTGATTTTGGGTGTAGTAATGCCCTGATGCTTACCCGTTTGGAAGAACCCGCAGACGGCAGGCGAGATCATGGCTTACATGAAATTGGATGGTTGGTTAAGAAGAAGACCCATGCTGTAAATCATCTCGAAAAACGCTTATCCGCTATAGTGGTGGGTGTCAAAATGTACCAATTATCTCTTAAGCCATATACTGAATACTACAGTGAGCTCCTATGACGACTGCACATACATTACCCCACCATGGAAATATGGGCTTGAAGAGGTATTCACAATAGTCCGCCGACTGTTCGAATAATCTCCCAGTAGACTTATGGTGCCACGAGCAAATTCTCTTCCCTGTTGGGATAGAGCGATTGCGCCGACATCGCCGCATGATGCAGGAACGGAGGTGGCGGGGGGCTTGGTTTGCGTGTGGCGGGGCATCGGAATGACTGCGGCTGCCTGCGATTAGAGCGCAAAGGCCCTGAATACACACCGTCCTTGTTCGTTCGTGACGAGGCCATGGGGGCAAGTAAAGAAAATTTCATCATGCATCAGCCTAGACGCCTCGTGCATGCGTTCTGGAAGCTGACGGGACGGGGCAGTTGAGTGGTTGAGTCAGTCAGCGATTCCGGAGCTACAACAACAATTTTCCCCATGGGGACCTTGACTCTACATTGACCCCAAGCCAGCATCTTGACTTTTTACTTTTTGTTTTGCTGGACGACTGCACATATTTAATACCATGTCTTCACATACAGCATCGCAGCGCTATCTGAGCACCCGGGGAGGCTCATACGACGTAAGGTCGGTGCAAACCGTGGGCGCAGTCGCATGCTAACATGTGCAGTTCTCATTTGAGGATGTTGTCCTCAAGGGCCTCGCTGCAGACGGCGGCCTGTTCATCCCCGAAGAAATCCCTACGCTTCCCGAAGACTGGGCGTCCAAGTGGAAAGATCTCTCCTTCGAAGACCTCGCCTTTGAAATCTTCTCCCTCTACATCTCCCCCTCAGAGATCCCATCTGCAGACCTAAAAGACATCATCCGTCGTAGCTACTCCACCTTCCGCGCAAAAGACGTCGTCCCCACCGTCACACTCGACAAGGAGAAGAACATACATCTGCTCGAGCTGTTCCACGGGCCTACATTTGCCTTCAAAGATGTTGCCCTGCAGTTTCTCGGCAACCTGTTCGAATACTTCCTCGTGCGCAAGAACCAGGGCAAGGAGGGCCGCGATAGGGAACATCTGACTGTCATTGGTGCTACAAGTGGCGATACTGGTTCGGCCGCCATCTATGGTCTGCGCGGAAAGAAGGATGTCTCCGTCTTCATCATGTTCCCGCACGGCAAGGTCAGCCCCATCCAGGAAGCCCAGATGACGACCGTCATTGACGCCAATGTCCACAACTTGGCAGTAGACGGCACTTTCGACGATTGCCAGGTATGTACAGAAATAATACATCACACAGCACGACTAACAATACCAGGACTTTGTAAAAGCCCTCTTCGCCGACCCAGAAATCAACAAGACGCACCGCCTCGCTGCCGTAAACTCCATCAACTGGGCCCGCATCCTTGCACAAATCACCTATTACTTCTACGCCTACTTTGACCTTATCAAGAAGCCCTCCTTCCTCCCCGCATCCACTGTCCGCTTCGTCGTACCAACCGGCAACTTTGGCGACATCCTCGCTGGCTTCTTCGCGAAGCGCATGGGACTGCCTGCCGAGAAGCTCGTCATTGCCACCAACGAGAACGATATCCTGCACCGTTTCTGGGAAACCGGCAAGTACGAGAAGCACCCCGTGCACGGCAAAGAGGCCGAGGGTGGCATTCCAGCAGACGGCGCCAAGGCGCACGAAGGCGGAGTCAAGGAGACGCTGAGCCCAGCCATGGACATTCTCGTCTCATCAAACTTTGAGCGCCTACTGTGGTTCCTCTCATACGATGTCTACAGCACAAACTCGGATGCTGTATCGCAAAGGAGAAGTCAAGCAGGCGACCACGTACGAAACTGGCTCAACGAGCTCAAGTCTCAGGATGGTTTTGCAGTAGACAAGCAGATTCTAGAGGCTGCCAAGGCTGACTTTTCCTCGTACCGTGTCAGCGATGAGGAGACTATTGAGACCATCAAATACGTCTTCAACGCGGAGTCGTCCAAGAATTACGTCCTTGATCCCCACTCGGCTATTGGTATCGCGGCAACGCTGCGCTCGGTACAAGTGTCAAAGCCTCCTAGCACACACCACATCGCACTTGCGACTGCGCACCCGGCCAAGTTTGCCAATGCGGTTGAGCTTGCGCTGCCGGAGCAGAAGGAGTACTTCCAGGCGAAGGTACTGCCGGATGAGTTCAAGGGACTTGAAGATAAGCCAAGGCGAGTCAGCCACGTCAAGAAGGCTGAGGGATGGCAAGGCGTACGCAAGGTTGTTATTGCGGAAGTAGAGGCAGAGCGACGGGCTGCTGAGGGTGCGAAGTAGAGACTTATAAGAGGTTGATGTTTCACACGGGCGTCGATTATATTTGGATAGACTACATACTGGATATTGAATACAGAAATGGGAGTCATACACGTTTTCATTATATCAGTCACTGTTGGGGTTCTCATTGTTACATGGCTACCAAGCATACCCTACTTCCGCTCTTTTCATTCTCGATACCTATTTCCGCAGCACATCCTCGACCTCCTTCTCCTCCTCTCCCACCCCATCCCTCCGTTTAACAACCTCACTCTCAAATCCCAACCCAGCCCTCTGCCTCAAAACCCCATACACCGCACTACTATCTGCCCTCCTCCCCCTCTCCTCCGCATACCCCTTCGCCTCCTGCGCAGCCTCAAGATACATCTCCCCAATCCTCAACTCGACCCCCCTTTCCCTCGCAACCGCAACCCCATGTCCCACATCCTTAATCCCAAGCTCGAGTCCTGACGCCGGCACCTGGCCCACAGCTGGGAGATACGAACCCGAAGTTAGGCGCCGCGACACACCAAGTGCATACGCGCCAAAGTTTTCCTCGATAAGGGATTCGAGGGTGGAAGCGGGGAGTCCAGATGACTCGGCTAGGACGTGGGCTTCAGACAGCAATGTCATCAGGCCTGCGGTGATGAAGTTGCTGGTGGTTTTGAGCAGCATGGCCTGCGAGGCTTCATCGCCGACGTGTAGGACGCGGCGTGCCAGGACGCCTTTGAGCAGCGGCATTACACGGGTGATTGCTTGGGGCGGTCCGGCGACGGCGATGAGGAGGTTACCGGCGATGGCGACGGGTGTGGCGCCGAAGACGGGGGCAGATATGTACCAAGCATTTTTCTGGGCCAAGGAAGTGGAGATTGAGGTTGTGGTGGACGGGTGGACGGTGGTTGTGTCGATTATTATTTTTTGGGAGAGGGGCCCGCTGGATTGGATCGAGGTTGTCAGCGTGGTAAGGGCTGTGTCGTCGCTGACCTGGAGATTCTCAGTTATGTTTCTTGGACGGAAGATGAGTACTTCCTGGAGAAGAGAGGAAAATGGGTTTGTACAGATATGAAAATGACATTGCAGATTTGGACTAGATCGGCGATTGTGGGACACGCCGTGGCACCGAGCCCTTCCAAAGGCTTGCCTCGTGAGGGTGTTCGATTCCAGTATTTCAACGGCGGATAGTCGTCTGGATGCTGTTGTATGTGTTTTTGGATGTTGGTTGCCATTGCCAGACCCATTGATCCTAGGCCTATCCAGCCCACATGCAGCTTTTCTAATGAATCCATCTTGAAAGAAACTGGGTAAGTAAATCTGGCTCCAGTCTTCTCCCCACAAGTCTTTGAAAAAGGTAGTCAGTGTAATGGTAAGGTGACTCAAACATGGTATACATGCACATGAGTTAGTTTATCGCACTAGTGTGCATCAGGCAAGTGAGTAAATCGGATATCCGACGAGACTTGATTCTTTAGACTATCTTGAGAAGAGTCAGTTAAACAGTGTTCAGAAACTGACATGACTCGACGACTAAACGTGTCAATTTCTTTCGCCAAAAATACGTTGTAATACTAAAGATATGTATATACCAAAGACAAACTCAAACTCCGGGCTATGCTGGTATCCAATAATTTTGAGAGCCAGATACGGAACCAGCTGAGTAATGATACTATGCTCTGGCTCTGGCTCTGGCATGCGTAATATAATCGCCTGCTACAAAACATCCTACTCCTCATCCTCGTCATCGTCGACCACACGTCTCCGCTTTGTCCGGCTAACCACGACTTCGTCATCGTCATCGTCGTCGTCTGCAACAGCCCCGCCCCTTGATCTCTTCGGACTTGGCGCAATTCCCTCATCTGGGTCGTCGTCGTCCTCGACAATCTCCGGCTCCTCGTCACTAGCAGCGATAAAATCATCCTCCTCGTCATAGTCGTCCTCACGATTCCTCCTAGGGCCGCCATAGTCTTCGTCATCGCTCCAGTCACGCCGTAGGCCGCCACCCTTTCTCTGTTGCTGTTTCCTAGGGGCGCGGTCTTCCAGTCCATCACCATCGAGTCCACCTCCTGATGCTCGTCCACTGCTGCGCCCCATGGTGCGGTTGGCGCGCTCGGCCTGGCGGGCTTCGTGCTTCTCGCGGGCGCGTAGTTGCCGCTGCTTCTCTTTGAATGTTGCTTCTTCGCGTTGTCGGCGTAGCTCGGGATCTTCGTCTACGTTGATAAAGGAAATGGCCTGATCGGCATCGTCGCGACCCTTGGACGCCACCTTTGCAAGATCGTTTTGCAACTTCTCCAGCGCGGCATCTTTTGTGTTTGCAGCGGGCACCACGTTTAGGGATGCAGTGAGCTTGTTGGTCACACGCATAACGTTGGCCTCTTCGTAAGGGGCCACGAGATATGTGTAACTCTCCTTCTTCGCGCTCGTCTTGGCACCGGATTTGTCTTCCCTGATTGCTGTTGGGGTAGGAATCTTGGGGTTTATCTGCGGTGGCGCAAGCGTATTGGCGTCAATGTCGAACTGCACGGTAGGGTCGCTGGCGAGTTGGAGGGTAAGAGAACCGTCGGACCACCTTAGGATACGAGCATTCGACTGCAAGACAGCGTTATTCGAGGGTGAACGTCGCCATCGGATGGTGGTCATGGCAGTGTGGTAGGCGGAAAAGTGTTCGGACGCGCCAACCTTGGAATGGTGGTCGGTGGTCGGTGGTTGGAATGTCCTGTGATCAAAGGCCTTGTCCTCGAAGGAAAGGAAGCGCGGGACCTTGAGCAGGTAGAGTTCATTGTCAGTGGGCTCGGGGACTGCATGGCGCGCCAGGTCTGCATCCATGTATGCAAATGTCTGTTGCTCGACTTCCTCGACGGCCTCTCCCTGCCTGACGCGATCATTGCGTCCTTCGTCGTCGCCGGAGTCGAGCTCGGCATCGTCGAGCTTGCGCTGCTCACTGTGACACGTCAATTGGATGTCGCATACTATTCTCTATCGCGACGTACGCTTGCGCATCGTGCGCATCTCCCTCGGCGTCATCGTCCGCGGCGCCGTCGCCAAAGAGATCGTCATCGTCGTCGTCAAGGCCATTCTCCTCGACGGTATTCAGCGGCGTGCCTCCCTCGCCATCGTCAGCAGGAGTGGCATGGCCATTGGCCTCGTCGCCGGACAGGGTTGGGTCGTGGCCCGCGTCGGACATGGTCGCGACAAATGGCGGAGGCTGCGTTGCGTTGCGTTGCTTGCGAGGCGCAGAAACACGGGCGTGCCGGGACGTGTCGGGGCGTGTCAGGGCGAGGGTGAAGGACGGGGCAAGCAAATGCCACACGTGATGATGGTACAGCAAAGGACGGCGGAGGACTGGAACGCAGCAGCTGCACCGCTTCAAAGTTCCCAGCGACGCCAGCAGCAGGCCGTGTACTGGGCGCTATACCAGATGCGGCAATAGCGCCCCGCCCCTTCTCGACGCAGGCCCAAGGGAGTGTCGAGTGGGCCCAAAAAGCGTGCCCGCTTGAGACGTATCACCACCTCCTCCCCTTCAATTCTCTTGCATACTCCTCAAGCCGGCCCTCTCTAGGTGCATCCATAGCTCCCGTCTCGCCGCTTGCAGCCCCTGCACGCCCATAGCCAGGTCCCCGCAAACAAATGGCTTCTTTCTTCGCAAACGTGTAAGTTGCTTGGCACTTGCTCGCCCTCGCTCGAGTGCTCTCTCCCCTTCCCTCTACTACAGTCCAAACACTCCCCCTCCCTGGTATGTTTCAGGCAAATCTGCTGCATATCCTCGTACGGCTTCAATCTCGCCATCTCCGCCTCACTCTGGGAAGCTGCGATTTGGTCACTTTTGGCCTCCCAACTCCCGCCCGCCGAGGCCCCAAAGGTGTTTCCCTCTTCTAACAACTTCACCGATAGTCGCCAAGGACTGGCCGGCCGCTCCAGCAAAGGCCAGCAAGGCAAAGGCGGCTCTTCGTCACCAACGGCTTCATACTCTGCTTCGCCAACTTCTCAGCACGCCCCAAACCAACCGCCTATGCCTGGTTCGCCTGCTCTGTCGTCCAACATGTCGTTCGAAGGCCCGCCATCCGAGGGGTCCGTGCCATCTGGCTCTCGCAGACCGCCTTTCTTTTTCCGCGAGGAGTACTCCAACTTGATTGTCAAGGGTAATTTCATGACGCTGGCTGCAAAGCCCAAGCTCGTTGAGGAGGGCGAATGGCTCGCTCATCAAGGTAAGCTTTGCCACGTGTGAGGTTCGGCCGGAAATGGCGCTAAAAGCATATGACTAGTTGTCGAGCAGTACAGATTGCTAGAGCAAATGATTGAAGTCATCAAGGTAGTCGACGATAGGACGGGCAAGCCCATCTGTAACCCAGATGTCTGTCCTACCATGTCTGCCAGTGGTCACACATACACCTGGCTCGACAACAACAAAAAGCCCATCAAGATCCCCGCCATCCAGTATATCAACCTTGTACAAAAGTGGATCGTGGGCAAGATCAACGACCCAAACATCTTCCCTACAGACACCACCGCAATCTCAATTGGAACGACAACCTATGCCTCTGGCTCCCTGACTCCCAACTCGACGCCACAGCCTCTGGGTCCCACGAGCCTCAACCAACCCGTATCCCAGCTGGCCGGACGCGAGTGGCTCGGCAAGTCATCCGGCTTCCCCGAAACCTTCGAGGGCGATATTAAGAGCATCTATCGCCAGATGATGCGATGCTACGCCCACATCTACCACGGCCACTGGCTAGAACCCTTCTGGAACGTGAGTGCGTACAAGGAACTCAACACGTGCTTTATCCACTTCATCAACGTCGGCAAGCTCTTCAACCTCATTGGCGACAAGGAGATTGAGCCCATGCAGCCGCTGGTCGACCTCTGGGCGGAGAAGGGGCTGCTTCCTCCCATTACTGCTGCCAAGGAGAATGCTCCGCCTGCGTCTTGAAGATAGTTTTGTCTACTACTACTACTACTACTACAACAATTACTTTTTGAATTCCTCAGTCGACCAAACAATAAGCATGTGGGTAGCCCCATTTGATATGGAGGCCCCTCCCCAAAATCCACGCGAGGCCGTCCATATTTCTGCATTGTACATGTAGCGCGAAACCGAGTCAAAAGCGAGGATGATGATGATGACGATGAATTGGCGTTCTGGCATGTCTTGCCATTTCCGCAAATGTGAGCCTCGGAGATAGCATAGAGCAAATTAAACCTCTTTTTTTTTTTGCAATTGTCCTCGTTCTTCATCTTTTGATAAAACCAATATCAGCTCACACGACACACATGCAAGGCACAAACGACGATGACGACTTAGCAAGAAGAGGCTCAAATTTGATAGTACCACGCAAAAGCAACCAAACAACTCTTGTCCCCCAACCATAACCCCTCCTAGAAACGCAGTGTCATAGCCCCATTCCACACACGCACTCACAAAACTCCAATGGCGACACAGACCAGAGAATCCCAGAATCTCCGCTCCGCTCCACCATTTCCATTTGACATTTTCATCACCAATGCAAATAACACTTCATGGGTCCGTGGCATGCGGGACGCGCGTTCGTTATGGAGATGCCCGGGCAGGGACAGGCACTTGACATTTTTCGTGACTCGCTACATTACAGCTCGCCCCAGGGGCGAACTTACTGGTGACCGGCCTTGCGGAGGGAGTTGCTCAACCACTCGAGACCCTCGTACAGACCGTCACCAGACGTGGCGCAAGTCGACTGGATGTACTGCATCGGGTTAGTGGGGACGCCCTAACAAAGTGGGTCTGCTTGCAACTTACCCAGGCACGTTGTCGGAGGCTGTGGAGACCAAGCTTGTCGGTGATTTCAGCAGCGTTCATGGCGTTCTGTCACGAAAGGGTTAGCCATTGTGCAATTGCGAGACTTTGCGAGCGACGATGGAGGCTTACAGGCAAATCCTGCTTGTTGGCAAAGACAAGGAGGAGAGCATCCCTGAGCTCGTCCTCGTTCAGCATGCGCTGGAGCTCCTCGCGCGCCTCGACAACACGGTCGCGATCGTTGCTGTCGACGACGAAGATGATACCCTGGGTGTTTTGGAAGTAATGCCTCCACAGAGGACGGATCTTGTCCTGACCGCCGACATCCCACACGGTGAACTGGATGTTCTTGTACTCGACAGTCTCGACGTTGAAACCTGGAAAAAGGGGCACAAAAGTCAGCGCTCTGCCCTTCGCAACGGAGACCGTATGCAGCGCAACATACCAATGGTTGGGATGGTGGTGACGATTTCACCCAACTTGAGCTTGTAGAGAATCGTCGTCTTTCCGGCAGCGTCGAGACCG